GCTTATTCATTGGAAGTAAACTCATTTATGCAACACATTTGACATTTTCACTGTTTGATGATTAAAATGTTTGTGCTTCATATGAACTTTGCACCAGAAGTAGATTAACAAGGACTTTTAGTATGATTTAGCCTTTATTTTTAATTGAACTGTATCAAATCGACTTGATATATAATGTATTGAAGCGTAAACTCAGTGTATCGAGGTATGTATCGTATCAGCAACTTCTTAATGATACCAGCCCTACACAATGCACCTTTAAATGATACAGATTTATATTACATAAAATTGACTTTTGTTAGCCAACATGCCTGGAGTTGTGTTTTGTTTCATTCACATTTCATGTTTGAGTAATCCTTTATTATTAGTCTGGCTACATCTCCAAAGCTCTGTCCCCCCTTGTGATGTCATGTAGTGGTAGTTTTCAAGTTAACAGCTCCTTTTACCTTTAGTTCAGTAGAGATTGGAAATTGATTGGAGATTATTCTAGTGAAGGTGTATGGAGTTTAAAAACACTCAGCCTAATAATGAAAGAACTCAGCCTAAATATACAGGATTTGTGAGTTAAACATGTGTTAATGAAACAAAACACAAATCCATGACCATCTTGCTGGTGGAAAATGCGTTGACGTCCCTCCATGTATTAAAGGACTTTTAATAAACTCAGTCGGAGTGCCTCGGATTTGTACCTTGCCCAGTTTTACATTTTTCAGTAAGGGCAACATTCTGTTAAGATTATAAGTTTAACCCTCGTAGCGTACCTGTACTGCTGTTTTTTACTTTTTTGTGACCCAGTGAAGCTCTCCACTTACTAGGTCTGTTTGTGACGAGGAAACAACATTATAACCAGTGTTGGGGAGTAACAGATTACATGTACCGGAGTTATGTAATCAGAGTACAAATTATGAGTAACTGTATTCAGTTACAGTTACTGTTTCAGTGAGTGGTAATTGGATTACAGTTACTTTGTTGAAATAAATGGATTTCACTGCGGTATTTTCCTGTTTTCACATTTTGGGCTATATCCCCCCCCTTTTTTTTTTTCTTTTTTTTTTTTTTGTAATTCCACTCATTGCTGGAAAATAAACCAGGTTTAAACTAGATCTAAACCAGGTCTAAACCAGGACTAAAACCAGGACTAAAACCAGGTCTAAACTAGATCTAAACCAAGACTAAAACCAGATCTAAACTAGATCTAAACCAGGTCTAAACCAGGACTAAACCAGGACTAAAACCAGGTCTAAACTGGATCTAAACTAGATCTAAACCAAGACTAAAACCAGGTCTAAACTAGATCTAAACCAGGTCTAAACCAGGACTAAACTAGGACTAAAACCAGGTCTAAACTAGATCTAAACTAGATCTAAACCAGGTCTAAACCAGGACTAAACCAGGACTAAACCAGGACTAAACCAGGACTAAACCAGGACTAAAACAGGACTAAAACAGGACTAAAACAGGATTTAACAGGACTAAACCATGCTGCACGGATGTGTCTCCTCCTCTTCTATCAGTAATATTTTTAATACGGTTCAGTAAAATCTGGGCTTTTTATTTTCTTTTAACAGACAAAACATCTTATGTTACGATATCCTAGTCTTTGCTACTCTACAGCAAATCAAGTAATCCAAAGTATTCAGATTACGTTACTCACCTTAAATAACTTCATGTATTACGTTACAAACTACATTTTTGGGGTATATAATCTGTAATCTGTAGGGGAATACATTTTAAAAGTAACCTTCCCAACACTGATTGTAACATAGATCAGAAAATAGCGTAATAAGGGCCCCTTAAGTGTTCCAGCTGCCTTCAATACACTACTCATCAGCTGGTTTTAAAGGTTTAAAGATGGACCATGCAACTTTTCTCGGGTTGGTCACCAATTTTGTCTCTATAAAGATGTTATTTCTTTACGTGCAACATTTCACAGTATGGCATTAAACTTGTCTATCTCCATGGAAAGAAAGTGTTATTCGTTATTCATTCTCACTTGATTGGACGACTACCTGACATTAGACGTTTCGGAACATTTTCAGAAACCCTGGTGATCTCCAATGACATTGTTTAGCTGTAATATGATAAATACGTATCTTAAAATCCCAAATTTAGTTTTGATTTGACGTAGAACCAAAGACGGCTGCCTCATGGCTCATTTACCGCAAGCTGGCACACACATGGCCTTTCCTGCTGTTTTGCCTAGTCATTGTTTGTAAAGTTTATTGTAACTTCTGAAACTAGCATTACGCTAAATGTGTGTTTTTCAGTGACTCTGCTGTTCCTGCCTGAGCCTTAATCCCCATATTTAAGCTTGTTCAGGAGTGTGAAAGTGCGTGAGTGTTGGCGGGCGTTCCTCCAAAATCAAGTTAAAAAACATCAATTGCGCTGTTTCAAAGTATAGAGCAGCATCAGCAGACAGACGTGTCATAATGCTGCTAATGACCATAATCACGCCTGGGCATAGAGAGAGAGAGAGGAGGAAGAGAGGGGAGGTAGAGAGCGAGAGGCATGCAGAGAGCTAGGAAGGAAAGAGAGAAAGGAGGAAGAGGAAGAGAGAGGAGGCCCAGAGAGAGGAAGGAGAGAGTGGGGAGGCAGAGAGAGTAAGAGGAAGCAGAGAGAGAGAGCGGAGGTGCACAGAGAGGAAAGAGAGAGTGGGGAAGCAGAGAAAGAGAGGAGGCATAGAGAGAGAGAGATAGCAGCAGTACAGAGAGAGAAAAGAGGCGAAGCAGAGAGAGAGAGAGAGGAGGCAGAGAGAGATGGGAGGCACGGAGAGAGAGAGGAGGAAGAGAGAGAGAATATGCAGAGAGAGAGGACGAAGAGAGAGAGGAGGCAGAAAGAAGGAAGGCGCGGAGAGAGAAGATGCATAGAGAGAGGAGGCAGAAAGAAAGAAGAGGCACAGAGAGCAAGAGGAGGAAGAGAGAGGAGGCAGAGAGAGAGGAAGCAGAGAGAGGAGGAAGAGAGTGGAGGTGCAGAGAAAGGAGGCACAGAGAGAGAGAAAGGAGGCAGAGACAGGGGAGGCACAGAAAGAGAGGAGGAAGAGAGAAAGAGGAGGCGCAGAGAGAGAGAAGATGCAGAGAGAGAGAAAGGACGCAGAGAGAGAGAGGAGACAGAGAGCGAGAGGAGGAACAGAGAAAGAGGAGGTGCAGAGAGAGAAAGAGGACTCACAGAGAGACAGAGACAAGAGGTAGCGGAAAAGAGCAGAGAGAGAGAGGAGTCCACAGGAGCTAGGCTGCCCTGATTCATTGCCTGTGGTGACCCGGCACTGACCTGCATGGTTATACTGTCACACAACATGGTCACACACACATGGTCACACACACATGGTCACACACACATGGTCACACATGGTTACACTCACGGCTAGACAGGGTTAACCACTCCACCACGCACTAACCAAATGTTCTTGTAATTTACATACAGGAGTTGACTGTATGGACTGGTACAGACAGCTATGGATCAAAATCATTTCAATTTGATGAAGTCAGAATTTCAGATTTGTTTAAAATTCTCTTCCATTTTATAACAATAAACTTACTGCTAAATTGTTGTTTAACTGCTCAGGCCCTCTCCTTCAAAATGTGGGTACATTAAGTAATAATGCACCAATACACAAGGCTCATGTATCAACAATTGTGACAAACATTTTCTGATTCAAGCGCAAATATTTTGAACAATCTCACTAGTTTTATTACTTGTTAACATTTTCGCTGTGTTAATAGTTAAACGTTATTCTGTTATATACTTTTTTTAGATCTGGTTGTACTTGGAAAATTTTTGAAAATCGATTTTAGTTTGCGTTTTCATTCTGACACATCACATTTGTTTTAATGATAGTGTTCAATTTAGATCCAGTTTTTTCTAAAATTATGTGACTTCAGGACACATGATTAAATGTAATCAGACCCCAGTTATGTTAAATATAGGTTTGTGTGATATCCCTGAATCATTATGACATTAACATAATATTATGATATGATGTCCTAGTGAAGTATGAAGCCGAACACCAAATCCACCTTTTTTCTACTAAACTATATGGTGTTTTAACAGCATTGTCTATTGTTCCTTAGCATTACTTGGCAATTTTGGTGCAAACTACAACAACAAACAACCAACATTTTCAGTTTTCTGGTCAAAAACCCCCAAATCTAAGTACAAGTATGTGCTGCATTCAGTGACCTTTGCAGTTTTTAGTAGTTGGTGACATCACGCAAAACTGCAGCCAGGTTTACAGCCATGTTTTTCTGATTACAAACACCTCCCTGTGGATTCCTGTTAGGCCAATCACGCTGTTCATAAACCTCTAGACCCCTTCTCACAAACACAGACACACACACAAGTTTTCCAGGTACTGCCCAGTTTAGCAGCTCTGTTTGAAATATTGCTGTGGGAGGAGTTTGGGGGCGAATCTCCTTTCTCTTTCCTCGTTTCTTTCTCCTTAATTCTGCAGGAAATGGATGAGGAAGTCCCACAAAGTGAGGAGAGATGATAAAAACTCCTCACTGAGACCAATAAAGTTTGATTCTTTTATCTCATGTCTGCTCCCGAAGCCTCCCTCGTGTTTACTCCTTCCTTCATTCTGTGGTTTTCTTTGGGATGCCACTTAATATGACACGTTTGATTGATAGCTGGAAAATGGAGGATTGAAGAGAGGGAACAAGGAGAAGGACGCGAGGGAAGAGAATTGAGACGCAACATAGGTGTTTAGTCCCACATTTAAAAAAAACTCATCAGTGCACTTGGTGGTAAAATGGTCTAAAATCTGCCAGAGCCGACCAAGAATTGAATTAAAACATTTCTAGTTCCAGGCAAAGATCTTTTTGTAAAAATGTACGGTAGTTAGTGTTGCAATATCGTACAAATAACTGTATTCCTTCTTTATCTTGGCCATAATTAAATCTGCTGTTGTAGCTCCCTCTAGTGGCCTCTGGTGTTTTTTCACACATCTGTATAACCTTAATTGGTAGTCTTAACAAGTCCCTATGTGGTCTCTTGTTTTCCAGTCACAGATGAAGACGCAGTTAAAAGGCACTACGCCAAGTTTGAAGAGTTGTTTTTCCAAAGGTGTGAGAAGGAGCTGGCCAAGATCAACACCTTCTACTCTGGTAAGACCTCCCACCTTCAGCCACCATGACACCGACACCACGATAATAATAAAAAACACTCTTTATTTAGACAATAAGATGTGATTTTCAGCTTTGTGTAATCGTTCAGTTGTCCAGTTGTGGTCCATGAGCGTACGCAGAAGTGGGCAGTTACATTTACTTCAGTCACTTTAGAAAGAATTTGTACTTCTTTAGTGGCATACTTTTACCTACTTTAGTAATATTTTTATTGAACTAACAGTACTGTCACTTGAGTAAAAGTTTTCAAAAGCTTTATGTGACAATATGAAGTTATTTGCAGCGTTCCTTCAGATATAATTTAGTTTGGCTCATTTTTTGTATCTGTCCTTTAAAAAAAATTGATTTTGTGCTTTGGTTAATGTTTTTTTCTTCAGATTACATTAACTCAGTAGTAAATCAGTTACTCTTACTTGAGTATCTGTTTTCTCAAATACTTTTTTACTCCTACTAAAGCAATTTCTCAGAGCACTATTTTTTATTTCTACTTGAGTAATGTATTTTAAGTAGTAGCAATAGAAAAGTAGTCTATGTGGTCTTATACTTTATTTGTTTTGATACAGCTCAACATCCTGATAAAGTTATTCAGGAATAGTTAATTTCTGTTCTGTGAATGCAACTTTTTTAGTTTTTAGTTTTGATACTAGGGGTGTAAGAAAAAAAATCAATTCAGTGATATATCATGATAGTTCATTGCACAATTCTCAAATCGATTCAAAATGGATCTGAATCAATCTTTAATAATATTATTCATCACAAAAAATTCATTAGTTACATTCCTTGTTCTCATGATTTAAAAAAACTAATAAATTATATTTTTTTACAATTGTGTTCTCTTGAAGGTGTAGATGAGTATATCAACCATTATATCACAATATCATTTATTTATTTATTTTTTGTATCGGGATATCGTGATATATTGAATCATGACATGCGAATCATGATATGTATTGTATCGTCAGACTCAAGGCAATGCTCACCGCTAATCAATACTTGCTCCAATCAGTGTCTAGTTTTGGTACTAGTTTTAGCATCAATTAGTATCAGATTTTCTTTACTTTTGACGACTATATGAGACGCTGCAGTGTGGTACATGTATCTCCTCTCTGTGGTCCACAGAGAAGTTGGCCGAGGCCCAGCGGCGCTTTGCCACCCTGCAGAACGAGCTGCAGTCTTCTCTGGACGCGCAGAGGGAGAGCGCCGCCATCGGGCTCCGCCGCCGGAAGACCGTGTTCGCTCTGTCCCAGAAGGAGAGGTGCAAACACAGGAACATCAAGGACCTGCAGCTGGCCTTCTCCGAGTTCTACCTCAGCCTCATCCTGCTGCAGAACTACCAGGTCTCTGTCACTCACACACAGTCACAAACACACGCAAACACACACAACACACACCGTGAAGGAGCTGTATGTGAGATTTTGATTTTAAATCCCTTCACCTGCCTTTGTGCCCAGATACAAGATAAACATGTTCAAATCAAATATATGTTTTACTGATAACATATCAAGAAGCAGAATGAGCCTCACATGAGTCTCTCATTTGGGTTGCCAGGTTCACTGCTGAAATGCAGTTGGTTTAAACCTAAAATGCCTTTCTCTTATCTGAATGGCCACTACCACTAAACCCCAGCACCTGCAGCCAGTCATGAGTCAGTGCTAGTGCAGCCTCTGCAGCTCAGGGAGGGAATTCTGGAGGTTCTGCGCTTTCACATGAGACGTGGCCTGTCCGTGTACTAGAGTAGACCTATGTGTACTCTGTGTACTCCACAGGGTTAGGCAGCGAGTTCAGTTGCAGTTCCTTTTTTGGACTGTGAAGCCCAGTGCACACCAGAGCGCGTCAAATCCACGTGCCAAAACACACACTTGCTGTGTTTTAAATAGAAGTTTTCTCTGCAGATTACTGATAAAATGAAAGACAGTGTGAGGTCGTGAGAGGAGAGTGAAGGTGCTGAGCAGGTTATAGTGAGATGAGCGAGAGATGAGAGTTTCCACACAGAGAGAAGCTGGAGAGCACCAGATGGTGGTTTCTTTCCTTCTGCTGCTGCAGAGAAGTGCTAAAAGCATATGTTATCAGCCGTGGCGCAGCTTCCCAATTCAATAAACCCCAATGGAAGCATCCCAGGGCGCACTGGTCTTAAGAGTGCAGGATACACACACTTCCTTTAAATGTCCTGACAGCAGTGTAAACGCTCTGTCCTGACTTGTGCCTATGTGCTGTGTGTCCAGAACCTGAACTTCACAGGCTTCAGGAAGATCCTCAAGAAACATGACAAGATCCTGGAGACGTCTCGAGGAGCAGACTGGAGGGTGGCTCATGTGGAGGTGGCTCCTTTCTACACCTGCAAAAAGATCACACAGCTCATCTCCGAGACCGAGGTAAACAGACTAATTTGACATTTTTAAGACTATAAAAATTTGTGTTGGTAAATATCAAGACAATAAAAAATTGTTCCATTCATGTTTTTTTTTCAGTATTTTCAATACAAATTTTAGGATCAGTTATTCTCTGGATATTGATTTTTCAGCCGACCCTCCACCAGATAATAACTTCTTTTTTTTAACAACTAATTGACAATCCTCCACTGTCTTTTCTTTTCTCAGGCACTGGTCACTACAGAGCTGGAAGGTGGTGACCGACAGAAGGCCATGAAGAGGCTGAGAGTCCCTCCTCTGGGAGCGGCGCAGGTGATGCTCTTTATTATGTTATTGATCAGTTCTGCACAAAATGGTTAAACACACAGGCTCACAGTCAGCCTAATGTACAAGCAGCAGACCTACAGAGCCTCATGGTAAACTTCCTGTAGTAAGGCCATGTGCTGTCTCCATCAAATCAAGTCCTCTTGATGTAAGTCTGAATTACATTAGAGTCAAAGTCAATTAGACATCAGAACTGAGTTACTACAGTCAGCAGATACAGCACGATAATGTGATGAGCTCAGGGCTGGTGAGGCCACTGCACCGAAGACAGGACTGTCCAAACATAGAATGTGCTCCTGCTCTCGGCAATGACATGACATTCTCTCATCTTTATCTTCTGCCTGTGTTTCATAATGACTGACAATTGTGCTACCAGAAGTTCTAGGAGTTAGATCGCACATGTGTGTATGTATGCATGTGTACAGGACAACATACATACCTCATGGTTGTGAGTTAGAACCAGCAAATCCTGTATCTAGGAATGTATCTCTACTGTGTCTCTCCCATGTAGCTTGAGCACACTTACTGTTTTAAAAATGTCTTGCAATCACAACTGAACCTATGTTACCAGAGCCTTAACCTGCAGATAGAGACCACATACAAGTTTTTCTCATTCTCAGTATATGGATCTTTTATGTGAAAGCTTTCTTCTTCCCGCTTCTTTTTGGGGCAATTTTTAAAAATTTAATTTATTTATTCATTTATTTATTTATTTTTCTGCTATAATTTCATTAATGTTATATGTTCCATTGTAAAATAATGTAAATTTCTTACTTGGCCAAAATAAATATACATACATAATAAACAAACATAAATCTGAAGCTCAGAACCTCCAGACTTCACTCCCTGAGCTGCGGAGGCTGCACTAGCACTGACTCATGATTGGCTGCAGATGTTGGGGGTTTGGATAGTGACCATTCAGATCAGAGAGAGGCAGTTTAGGTTTAAACCAACTGGATTTCAGCTTTGAATCTGGCAAACCAAAATAAGAGACTCACGTGAGGCTCAATCTGCTTTCTGATAGGATAATCGAGAACCTAAACATCAAATATTAACTTAAATCAAGAGGCCATCATGTCCAATGTTTCTGTAATAACAAATGAATTAGCATTAGTAAAAGCTATATTTATTTGAACATGTTTACCTCATATCTGGGGATACTGTTAGTACATGTTTTTAGAACTTTAAATCAAAGTCTTACATACAGTTTCTACATTATTTGATTCTTTGCTGTTCTGTCTAAAAAGCCTATGACCAAATCAGTTTGTATTTTTCTGGTGACATATAATAACTCTCGCTATCTTGCAGCCTGCTCCTGCTTGGACCACCTTCAGAGTGGGGCTGTACTGTGGTGTTTTCCTTGTGTTAGTGGTCACTGTGGTTATAGCAGGTAAAGTCCAGATTCACACACATCATATGGACTGTGTAGTAAAGATGATAAATACTAATACAGTTTATTCTTGTCCTTGTTTTGTTTTACAGGGGCTGTGCAGAGTGGTAGTAATGATGTTTGGCCCATGATCCGTATCTACAGAGGAGGCTTTCTTTTAATAGAATTTCTATTTCTTTTAGGTAAAAACGCTATTTACATCATGTTGTATAAAGCTGTAGCTCAAACTGTGAAAGAGAGATTGCAGATTTGTTCATTTTGTTTATGGTGAACATCTCTGTAATTACTGGACCTATCCACTTGAAACAAACACTGGCAGAAATAATATAGTTTTTTTTGTGTTTTTATTATGAATTACTCAATATTTTAATATCGAATCAAGTAAAAATATTCACTTATCTAACTCTGCCGGTAGAGGTTTTCGTCGAACGCTTTTCTCTATGGACATGTTATTGCTTTGTCTGGAATGTTTCACACTGTGACATTAAAACTTTTTATCTTCATGGACAAACCAGACCAAGTTACAGGGCAGATCTGTGGAGAGGCGACCCCACTCACAGTCAGAATGCCTGTTTTTCTAGGTATATTTGAGCTATAAAACCACCTGGAATAAATGTAAGGTAGAGCTGTTTAATGTCATACTGTGGAACATTCCAGGCAGAGAAATGACATTTCCATAGAAACAAGCAGGTGATGGAGCCCCCCAACCGAAAAGTTACAGTGCACCTTTAATGTAAATACAATGTTTTAAAAATTCTGTGCATAAAGACTGGAAGATAAAGGCTTTCAAATTCAGTTTAATATACAGTGTTTGATATGCATAGTCTAAAAATACAGTATTTTAGGCACTTTTAAAACTAAAAATTGTAATATGATGTTAAAAAAATTCAGTTCACATAATAAAATTTTTTTTTTAAATCTGTTGCATGGCTTCAGTATAAAATAAACACAAAATACACTACCAGTCAGAAGTTTTAGAACACCCTAGTTTTTCCAGTTATTTATTGCAATTCAAGTCCAGTGAAGAGCTTGAAATAGTACAAAGGTAAGAACTGAACAGCCAGAGGTTAAAAAAAAAAGATAAAAGATACAAAACACAAGTCCAAGCTCTGCCAAAACTACCTCAGGAAAAAAAAACAAGATGGTAAAACTTGAAAACGGAGCGTGTCCAGCACAGTCTCCGGACTTAAACCCCATCGAGCTGGTTTGAGATGAACTGGACAGAAGAGTGAAAGCCAAGAAACCTACAAGTGCCACACATTTATGAGAACTTCTGCAACAGACTTGGGACGAACTTTGTGAAGAATATTTGATTTCTATTGTAAAAAGAACGAGCCACGAGTGTGTTCAGCTGTTATATCTGCCAAAGGTGGACACTTTCATGAATCAAAAGTTTAGAATAAGTTTTGGTCAACAGTAAATAGTAAGCCGTAAAAAGTGAAAAGGAAAAGGAAAAAGTGTGGTGTTCTAAAACTTTTGACCGGTAGTGTAAGTCATACACAAAGGCTTCTCTATCAGTATAAACTAAAACGGTAAATACTTTTCTCACAACAGCTTCAGAAAGTGCTGCCATTACTCAACCCCAAAATCTCAAACAAATAATGAGAAGGTTCTGCATGTGTGGATCTTAAATTTGGACATTTCTTTCCAAAACAGTGATTATTCCATAGAGTTATACAGGTCCCTGCCCTCGTAAAATGATGATCAAATAAAACTGTAGAACCTGAACAGAGCCTATTATGGTAGTATCAAAAAATGTAGTGTGATAACTAACCTGCATGTGTGTGTGTTGTGTGTGTGTTGTGTGTGTGTGTGTGTTTGTTCAGGCATTAACACGTACGGCTGGAGACAGGCTGGAGTGAACCACGTGCTGATTTTTGAGCTCAACCCCAGGAACAACCTTTCTCACCAGCATCTGTTTGAGGTCTGAGCCGTACACTCACACATGTTATTCACAAAAGACTTTAGAAGCTTTTAACCATGTTGTTATTGTTTTTCCTTATTTACAAACTCAAAGTCAGAGTGATTTATGCATGTTTAAAGCCCGGTGTCGACTGCACGGTTTTGTTTTCATCGTATAATATTTGTGGATGTCACACTACACGACAGAATGATGGAAGGGCATGTTAGCGTTTTTTTCTGCATCTGTTAAAGTGAGTAAATGAAAAGGAATCAGGGAGAGATGGTCCTGTTTATGGAGGAGCTCTTCTGCCGCTTTGGGGAGTACTTGTGTTTACAGTTGGTCATATGTTGGACAAAGATGAGACACAGTGAGGGGAGGACGCACTTTGCACCAACACTCCAAAATAGTATTATTGTTATTTTTTTGTATTATTTGTTTATTTATTTCATTCATATAGTATAAACAGGGCAGCCGTGGGGTCTTAAAAGTCTTAAAAAGTTCTTAAATTTGATGTTCCTAAATTAAGGCCTTAAAAAGTCTTAAATTGAGTTGTCCAAGTCTTATTTTCTTCACAAAGGTCTTAAATTTCATTAGCCTATTATTTTGTGTACTCAATCGGGCTGCAGTGCTTTAAAAACAATTACTGACTCTCTTCGAATGAAGGCATAAGTGAACTGTTCAAAGCAATTTTCACGGACTCAGAAATCGCCCCAACGTTTACATGTGGGAAAAACAAGACCTCGTACATAATGAAATTCGGCCTGGCTCCATAGATAAATGATTTTTTGGCCATTTTACAAGCAATGCATACTACTATAAATGAGTTCTGAATGAGATATTATAATAAAAGTAAGTTTTGTTATTCAAAGCAGTGAGTAATGGTCGTTATTAGAATTGGAGCTATAGAGGTGCGATGTTGGTCTTAATTTTCATTTAAGTGGTCTTGAAAAGGTCTTAAAAAAAGTCTTAAATTTGGGGTAGTTAATCCTGGGGATACCCTGATTAAAAGACATCAACAGTGTCACAACATCAAACAAATAAAAGAAAAAGAAATGAATGAAAAGGAGCAGAAAGAAGAGTCATCTTATGTTATCTCACCCTTTTCCAGACAATACAATTCAAATCAGTACATTTCAGTTCAGGCACAATTATTAATCAATTGCAAACAGAAATCTTCACTATTATGCACAACGACTTAGTCTCCTTTTTAATCATTTTATCAGACAGGTTGATCTCAGTCACAGCTCGTCTTTGGTCATACGACATTTCAAAGTTTGCCCTTTTGTCCTCTGAGGCCTACGAGCCAGGATGTTTAGCCACAACTCAAGATTTTCCCCACGATGACAAATCTTTGGTGTCTGGGGGCCAGAATGGTGCAGTGGACACCCGGCTTAAGTCGTCTTCATTAGCCTGTAATCAGTCTGTAATCAACAGGCCATTGTCTCTATTAAGGTGTCTTCAATCAACGGAGCAGCTCAAGTTTTAGATCAGGAGACAAAAGCACTGTATGTGTTCTTTAAGTAACGGCAGTGAGCTTTGTGGAAGTGGCACGTCACCTGCATGACTCATGCTTTAGTACTGTCGTCATGGAGATTTACACTTTTTGTTGCCGTACAGTGGAAAGTTTTAGCCCAGCGAACAACATTTCCATGGAAACAAGCCAACAATATCCTGTCTTGAAGTCTTTACATATTTTCTCGTTTGATATTTGAGCCACATTATAATAGAAACAATCTTTTTATGCAGTAGAATAGAATAATAACACTAATACTGTAACATCACCTCTCTGTCCCTGTACTCCATGTGTATATTTATATATTTATATTTGTGCGTGCAGATCGCCGGTCTGCTGGGCGTGCTGTGGTGCGTGAGCCTGCTCTCCTGCATCTTCTGTGAAAATCTGCTGGTGCCCATGCAGGTCAACCCTCTGGCCCTCTACGGCTTCTTCCTCCTCTTCCTCATCAACCCCTTCAAGACCTGCTACTACAAGTCCCGCTTCTGGCTCCTCAAGCTCCTGGTAATACTACATGATTATAGCTCCCAACACACTAACCAAACTTAGTCAGGGGTTTTTAGGTTCCATCTAGAAATTGGGCAAAAATACCTTGTTTCTTCTCCTTCCTCCTCCTTTTCGCTGACCTCTGTGAGCTATGTCATGAGGTCAACTATAAGGACCAAGGAGGAGGAAGGAGCAGTGAGGAGAAGGAGCTATCACTGCTTTAGGCGGATTCGGATCCTCCTAACCAGAGATGGAAACAGTCAAAACTACAACTTCCAAAAAATGGACTAAGCGCACCATCCTCCACCACTGGGCTGAGTCTAATGAGAATTATTTGAACCTTTCAGTCTTTAAAGTGAATGCTTTCATCACAACGGTAGCCGAAATAAAGTGACTGTATATTCTAATTAATAATCCGCTGTAGTGTTTGACTTGTAAATGAGTATCTGGAAACTTTCGGTGTGATCTGTGTAGTGGATTGTGGGATACCTCACGTCTCCTTTCCAATTTCGCTTTCATAGCTGCTAAAGGAGCTATGAAAAGAAGCATAATGTCTCCTTTACTTACTCCTTCCTAACTTCACTGATCACTTTGGATAGTTCTTGTCATGGCTGACGATGACGCACGACCGAGTCAATGATAAGAAAAGGTAACCAAATTCACATGCGCTGTCAGTTTGTCTCGAACTGTGGTGCGTTGGCTCCCTCTGGTGGTTCACAGAGCCTTCTGCGGTTTGACCGTTTATGTTATTTAGAAACAAATTTGGGAATATTTATGTCCTGGTTTAATCATCATTTAAAACAACCCTGTTCTACAACCTTGCTTTAGTCTGGAGACTTGGTTTAGTTCTCGTTTTTCTACTGATATAATCCAGGGTTAGGTCTGGTGGTGCTCAAAATCCAAATATTATTTCAGGATGTAGTTGGTGAGAAAAGTTTGTGAAGCTCTGCTCTTGTATTGCATATTGTTGATGGTAATGAAATAAGACACTTCGTACACATTTCCTAGTGTGAATGTGGTGAGTGAGTGGGGTGCACCGATGCAGATACTGTTATCAAATATCAGCACCGATACTCAACAATCAGCTGGATCAAGTGACGGCTCCATGATATCGGTTAAGATGATATCCTGTGTAATATTTCAACCCAAGAGGTCTTTGTCAGGGCATAGTCCTTTACAATGCTTTAATGACTTTACAATGTAAGACAAAATAAGTCTAAACCCATGCCACACAACCAATGCAAATGCACCTGTTCTCCCCTTTGCCGTGACCTCGTGTGTTCTTTTTGTTGTTGCGCAGTTTCGAGTGGTCACCGCCCCCTTCCACCGTGTGGGCTTCGCAGACTTCTGGCTGGCCGATCAGCTCAACTCTCTGGGGGTAGTTCTCATGGATCTGGAGTACATGATCTGCTTCTACAGCTTTGAACTGGACTGGAAGAAAAGGAACGGTCTCATCAGCGGAGCAGGTACTTTTAGATGACGGCAGCAGACCGGACAAGGCAGGACCAGGCTGAGAGAATGAAAAAAACTACTTGGATTCTAGTTTGAAATGGTCTACAGGAGTCCCTAGAGATGTTATTGCTTTGTCTGGAATGTTTCACAGTATGGTATTCAACCTTTCTATCTTCATCGAGACGAAACCAGACCAAGTTAGAGGTCAGATCTGTGGAGAGGCGACCCCCGCTCACAGTTTAACCTCCTCCGTGTGTTTGCGCAGGAGACGTGTGCAACTCTTACTCGTACGGTGTCCGGGCAGTGATCCAGATCCTGCCGGCCTGGTTCAGGTTTGTGCAGTGTCTGAGGCGTTACCGTGACACCAAACGGGCCTTCCCCCACCTCGTCAACGCCGGCAAATACTCCACCACCTTCTTCGTGGTCACCTTCGCCGCCCTCTACAGCACGCACAAAGGTACTGCTGCTTACTGTGTGTTAGTTTTAGATTTGGATGTTATAATTTTACTTCACAAATGTTGAACCATGTGTCTGTGTGTTTAAATAATGCAACCACTTTTGCCTCCATTGTAATTTAAAGTTCCTACATTATGCAAAATTTACTCTTGTGAGCTTTAAGCCATGTTATGATGTTGTTAATTCATCAAAAACAGACCTGGAGTTATGTTTTGTTTCATTCACACACGTTTGAGTTTGTGTTTTTAAAAGTGAAGACAGAATGACCCTTTACAAAAGACTCACAAGTTTTAGAAGCCTACCCGCACAACTGAGAGATTACACAGCCATTATTATTTATATATTTGTTAGTATTTTCTATCCCATGACTAAGCATGTTGTTCTGTTTAGAAGAAAAGCCAGAGGAGGCGCAGGTCTTCTTCTACCTGCACATCACGTGCCTGGTGATCAGCTCTCTGTACACTCTCATCTGGGACCTGAAGATGGACTGGGGCCTGTTCGACCGCAACGCAGGAGAGAACACTTTTCTGAGGGAGGAGATCGTTTACCCACACAAGGTACGCCATGTTTCTTACCTGTACACTGCTCATCTCAGCTCAGTCATTTCATTCAAAGCTGCACTGCGTAATTTTCTAGTTTTGCCAATCGTGCCTTAGAATGGGACTAAAGACCTTCACAACTCACTTCATAATTACCACAGCCACATTTCAACTAGAGCTGCTAAATTAAGGGCAGGGTGAGAGAGCCAGGGGTTTGTAATCCAGGGTTCCCATGCTCATGGAAATCCTGGAAAAGTCATGGAAATTGGAAATGTCATTTACCAGGTCTGGAAAACTCATGGAATTTTGTAAATTCAGTGAAATTTTTGGAAAAGTCATGGAATTTTAGTATCTCTTTCATGCAACTACAGCGTTCTGTTAAGTTATCATTAGGCTATTATGATTATTTCTGAACATGTGTGCCTTTTGTTTAAAAGAGACGACAATAAATGAACTGACAGTATTTTGAATGTTAAAAAACTATAATTTTTATCAAATTTATTTTCAAAAAGTTGAAAAATATGTTGAAAATTCCAGGGAGTAGAGAGAATTCTATCCAAAAGTTCACAATTAACAAATTTTTCTGATAATTATATATTGGTGTTTTCTTGTATTTTTATTTGTCAGATAATATTTTTTGTTTATATTAACAGAGTCTTGCCCCAGTGCACAATATAATTTTTAGGTAACAGTTCGTCACAATTTCTCATCCTGAAGTCAAATTTAAACCTAAAAAAAAGGCCAAATGGTTACAAATTTTTATAAATATCTTAAATATAAAGGTCTTATCTGTGTTTTAGTCAAATGAGCCTTCAAACATGTCATAGGCGTGTTAACATTGCATATGGCAGAGGGACTTCTTACACATAACTGTCTGTGTTTAATATTGTGATGGTATTAATGATTTAAATGTCAAATTTCTGTTTCCACATCTTCACCACACAATCTCAGTATTCTCTGTGTGTTTCCTTCATGTGTTTTTAGGCGTATTACTACAGTGCCATCGTGGAGGACGTCCTGCTGCGCTTCTCATGGACACTGACTATCACCCTCAGCACTCTCACCAAAATAAACGGGATTAAAGACATTCTGACCACCATCTTAGCCCCAATGGAGGTGTTCAGGTAACATCATATGTGAACTTTAAATAACTTCTTAAAGGTCCTGCGAGCTTTTAGTCATGTTATAATGTTGTTGCCTCATCAAAAACATACCTGGTTTGGGTGCATTATAGTTTTAGTGCAATATAGGCCCTTTAAAATACTCCTCTGTATTCCAGGCGTTTTGTGTGGAATTTCTTCCGTCTGGAGAACGAGCACCTGAATAACTGTGGAGAGTTCAGGGCGGTGCGGGACATCAGCGTGGCTCCTCTGAACGCAGATGACCAGACGCTGCTGGAGCAGATGATGGACCAGGAGGACGGAGTGAGGAACCGCCAGGGCAAGAAGAGCTGGAAGAGGAGCTACAGCATGAGCCTGCGCAGGCCCAGGCTCGCCTCACAGTACGCGCACACACTAGTCACTACTCTAACATCGAAACTAGGGCTGGGAATCCCTCACAATTTGATACGATACACGATAAAACTACAGCTATCAGTCTTTAACGTAAATGCATATGCGCCATGGTAATGAATTATGTGTAAATGCCGATCATTCACACCTCTGTTCATAGCTCTTTTACATATCAATACGTGTCCAGTAACATTTACAGCCATTATAAGTGTAAACAAGCGCAAATGAGTGACATGACTGGTGGTGCGTTCATGGGCAGTACGGCGTCACACAGACAGACAAATGACTCCTGATAAATAATGATGGGGAGCCGCATATTAGGACATTTATCTGTCTGTAAATTGGATTAAATGGACATAATATAGAGAGTCTAAACTTTATAATGAGATATAACATGCCCACGTGGACTATCGGCCCAAATCAGCAAGATTTAGGCCGATATGTTTCCAAGTGCCCATATCCGCCAATGATTGTCTCTTGTTCTAAGTGCTTTGTTTCTTCCTCCTGCAGGTCTAAGACTCGTGACACCAAAGTCCTGATCGACGACACGGACGATGACTCCTGACATCAGGCCATGCCCCTCGCCTGGGTCCAAAACCTCTTCAAAGGAGGGAACGCCTCTTCCTCCTCATAACTGCGACTCCCCGGGCGGGCTGGGCGTTAGATCAGCCTTTTGCAGACTCTGACGTGAACGAAAACACTCTTCTTCTACCGCCAATGCTGGTGTGCGGCTCTGAAGCTCCCTGCAGGCGGCCACGACACTCCGGATACTTCTGAATAGACCAGGAGTTTGAATCTTTAAGAGCAACGAGAGGAGAAAATGACCTCCGCACAGTTGCTTTTGAACAAGGCAGCGAAGAGGAACTAACTCAAACTAGCTCAGCGCAACACAAAACTGAGAATTAAAGAATAGAACGGACAGATGTTGAAAATCTGCCAGCTGCTTTTAGTCTCAGCAAACCAGGTTCAAAGTGGCCCTCAATAGTCACTACAGAAAATACGGAAAATGCAACAGCGAGTAAACAAAAGCTGTAGATTTGTTTTTTTTATTTTTAAAAGCATTCCGACTTTATGGAAATTTAGGGAAAATTTTTCTCATTTTTTGCAGCAATTTTTTCATCAGATTTGCCATTTTTAATTGTGTTTACACGTAAGCAATACACTGTAATCTGTAAGTAAAAGTCGTTTTCAGTCTAAAAAGTCGAACATTTTGTAATTTAGTAATTTATTTTTCCTACTACTGTCTTAAAACTTAAATTCTGTAGTAGATTTGTATCACTTTAGTTCACTATATGTGATGTAAAATGCTTGAAAGTATTTGAAACTACACTGAAGTTTGGGCTTGACGCTTCACACGTTGTCATTTTTCTGTTTTTTATAGTGACCTTTCAGGGCCACCGTAGAGTAAGCTCATCGAGAGGCCTTTATAATCAGTTTGGCACCTTGGACATTATTCATGGACCTCAGACTTAATAGAAATCCACTTGTTTTTCATCTATAGCCATTGGACTACATCTGGGCAAGCTCAGAAACTACAAATATGGCTCCCAATCACCACAGCGCTGCCTACCTGCACCTTACGTACTCGCTTTTACAAAAACGTCAACAAAAACATCGCACTTTGCCGGACAAGTGGAGCAGGACGCCAATTATTGGACGATTTTTCTTTTCAAATTTTTACATCAAGTAAGCGGGTTCTGATTAATAGCTGTAAATATTTGACGGACCAAACGCAGGCAACTAGAATTTTCCCCAAAACATTAAGTCAAGTGAAGTGCTTATTTCAAACGCGCAAGAAGGATTTTTGCGTAATATATTTTTTGGACAATTTGAGGATGGAAAGCCCATTGTTAGCTACTACTCCATAGTCAACCTCTGCAATGGTTGGACACTGAATGTATGCCAACTTATTTATGTGCGAATGGGAAAAAAACGAAGCAATGACTCTTGAAAAATGCTTGAAAATGTTCCAGTTTTTTGTCTTTTCGTCGATTCAGAAGGATCTACTTTATTGTGAAACAGGTGATTGCTTAAAGGACTTGTGTGGATGTCTTGCGTTAAAGGGCCTGTATTGCGCTACTTCCTGATCTGTTATCTGTTACAATGTAGTTTCCTCATCAAAAACAAACCCGGAGTCTCACAAATCCTGCATATTTAGGCTGAGTTCTTCTCTCAAACAGAAAAACAGGGTTCCACCCTGTAATGTCATGTGGTAATACAGTGTTTTTAAACTTTAAACTAGACTCATTTGGATGATTTAAGCCCTAAACTTGCCAGTCTCTAATGAGCAAAAGGTGAAGGGCAGCTGTTAACTCAGAAACTACCACTACATGACATCACAAGGTGGCATTTTAAGTTTTGGAGATGTAAAGAAGGATTACTTAAACATGTGGATGAAGCAAAACACAACTCCAGGTCTGTTTTTCTGGAGGTAATTACATTATAACACAAACCTCACAAGAGTCAGTTTTGTGTAGTATAGGGCCTCTGAGTTTGGTGTTGTTGCCGTGCATTGGAGGAGAATTTCCATATTTTTTATATTTATGCATTTTACAATAGCCATACTTTTACAAATCACATTCATAAAAGGTCATTCAGTCTTTGTTACTGCATTCACAAAAGTTGCAATACACACGTTTTGTTACACTTTCTGTCACAGAGTTTATAAAGCTGTCTGTGTAGTGAGTTTAGGATATTTAAAAAGTTTTACTAATTGATAAGTTAATTCAATTAGAATGTTAGAGTGTTAATGTTTTATTTTTAAGTTTTAAAATATAATTTTGAATATCAGGCTTAAAGACACTGTACCTGAATTTTACCGTTTCAAAAACTTAAACTTAAAACTTAAAAACAGAAATACTTTTCAGGAACCAGAGGTGGCTTTTGCTGTCAAGTTTATGCTAAAAACAAACAGCATGCTAATGTGCACTTCCTGATTCTTAGATCACCCTAAAAACGCTTTATAATTGGACGCAGCACACAGCACTTATCTTGCTCTCAAGAGCAGCTTATACAGTATATATGAACTGAGGCAAATTTTGCTCAAAAATGTTGAAAATTTTTTTTAAAAATAGGGTACGCGGTCTTTAACTAAAAATCTTATGAAATTATTTATCTTTTATTACATTTTAAATGGAAAAGTGTTACTAATTGATTGTTAATGAAGTTAATGTTAATGTTAAGAGTGTTAACATTTTAAATAATTTCATTTCAAACTTTTAAATTAAGTTTAAAAGTGTAATTTTGAATTCCAGCCTTAAAGGCACAGTACCTGATTTTTACTGTCTTAAAAACATGAAAAACAGAACAAGTTAATTAAAAAAAAAGTTTGCATTGGTCCGAAGTTATTCCACACTTACCTTATGCATTCCGAGCATCGTAATTATTCACAGAGAGACCAGAGCGGAGTTTTGTTGTCAAGGTTTTGCTAACAACCAGCATGTTAACGTGCACTTCCTGATTCTCAGACAAAAATATGCATATTATATATTTTGACCTCAAGAGCTGCATAAACAATATTTGTGTTCTGGAGCAAAAATCGGGTTCAGCGCCCTAACTATAGGTATTTTATCAAAGTATTTCATCTTTTATTTTATGAGCACTTAATTCTAAAATTTCCATTTCAAGTCTTAAATTTTACATAAACAGTGATTATTTGAAAATATTTTTAATTTCATGGTTTAGGATGAAATCAAATGCCACAGACGATGATCACCATCTTGTCATCAGCGTCAGGACAAATATAAGATCAAAAATATTGTACGTTTGGGATATTTTTTTGAGAGTTTATTTCCCAGATCAATCGGAGACACAGGGTTACATTCTGTACGTTTTTACCTCCATTATTTGTATTTCACACCACTGCATCCAAAGACCTCAGCTGCATCTCTCCATACACTGCACTTTAAATCCTTTTTTGATTTGCGATGGCTCAGGATTCTGTGTTACCGGACCTTTCTAAAGCCATCTTCTACTCAGGACATTTCAAGCACCTTACCTTACTCATTTTATCAACAGACCAAATACATGCAACTTCACGTACTCATGTTTTTACTGTCGAAATAGAGGGATGGGACACAGTGGTTTAAGAATTTCATTGGTGCATAATGTATAACTTGACACAAATACTTAAAGTTTTTTTTTTGTTTTCTTTTTGTGTTTTACTTACAGCATCATAATAACATGATAATAAATGGAAATACCTGTTCTCATATTTTCATCAACAAAATACACACCATATTTTTGTAATTTACAGTCTTCATATTGAAATAAAAAGTGATTTCCACGAGTAATTACCATGTAATTACACATTTCATGACCATTTCCATTCTATTCCATGCTATTACTGTGCTGTAGAGTAAAGTGCCATATATTTTTAAGCTTAAACTGACATAACATTTATTCTGAACAACCATTTTGACCGTATCAATGATCAAATCAAGGCTTTAAAGTTGCATTATGTCACTTTTCTAGTGCTGGTTTCCATAGAGATGTACCCTGCTTGCATATTTTCCAGTTAAATATGTCTCATTGCAAAAAAATACCTCGGAAAAACATGTATTTGTATTGAAAGCGGGGGTCCCTCTCCACAGATCTGACCTGTAACTGGGCCACGTGGTATCACCCGCTTGTCTCCATGGCAACAGATATGCTGAATGCCATACTGTCGAACATTTAAGGCAAAGCAATAACATTTGGAGTAAGGATGCTTTTTCAGTTTCAACAGATAAAAGTGCAGCTTTTATTTTCTTTTTAAAAAAAGCAATAAGACAAAACTGATCCAAATGTGTTATGTAGCTGTTATTTATTTTTTACGTAATTATCACTAATAAATAAAAATAAAAACATGAGACTTTCTGGCCCAACTACGGTCTGTGTACCATTCGTTCTTTTGAATTTCAATTTTGAACGAAAAACAATTAAATGGGAAAACGGTTTCAGTTCATTATTCTGTTTTAGTGTCAAACAAAAAATTTCGACCTCTATTTCCAATATTTAATTTAAAGTTTATTTCAAATAACACCAATCAAAACAGTCTCGGTGCCTATTTTAATTTTAATATTTTATTCTCTCTGGTTTATTTGCCTTGGACGTTCTGCTGCAGTGTCAACCATGGATCTATAATAAAAACAATTTTTATCATAGTTCTGTGGTGTCAGCTGAACAAAGTTTAGTTTATCTCCTCGCTTTCTGTTTCTCTTTTAGTTCAACAATGACTTTCTAAGACGCCAAAGTAAACGTGTCGCTACAAAAGAAGAGGACGTTTATCCACAAAATTGCAAAGATTTTTCAGGAAAGTCCTTCTAGCAGTCGAACTTTCAGGGCAAATAAACCAGAGAGAATAAAATATTAAACTGAAATTAGTCACCGAGACTTAAACTTTAGTATAAACTTTAAATTAAATATTGGAAATAGAGGTTTAAATCTGTTTTGTTTTGTTCTGTTTGACACTAAAATGGAATAATGAAACAAAAAACTGTTTTCCCATTTTATTGTTTTTCATTCTTAATTGAAATTCTAAAGAACGAATGGTACACGGAACAACTACAACCAGTAAAAAGTCAATTTCTTTGCCCAATCAGGATATCGGCAAATTTCTAAGTATCGTTACATCTCTGATTTTGGAAACGAGCATTTACAGGCTTCCCTCCAGAAAAGTTACACAGTGCATCTTTAAAGTAAACACATCCAAACTTACTACTACATGAGTGAATGAAATAACACCCCTTCAGCAAATTTAACATACACTTTTTGTTGCGTGGTTAATACATTTTGTCACCAATGAAAATCCATATGGACATTCCCTTTACGTTACATATTTGAGTGTATTTTTGTATTCTCTCGTCTCACGTCTCAGCTGCGGGCAGACTGACATTAAACCACACCGTGTCTTTAGCACATTCCAGCTCCCATCTCCTCCTCTGCACGGCCGAGTGTGTGTTCTCATCTGTACGGACGTTTTATGAAACAAAAAATGCAACCTGTATCGATCTGGGGCTGAGCATCGGAAGAAGCAGTTTTGAGGTGTTACGATGAATGTGTGGGGACTTTAAATATATTTGTACAACTTATTAGCAAGCATTGAACACAAATAATACATCTTAAAGTGCATATGACAGATTAGATGACTCTACTCATTAAAACCCAGTTAGCATGGTTATATTCAGGGTTCCCACGGTCATGGAAATCCTGGAAAAGTCATGGAATTTTTGTATCTTTTTCACACAGCTACAATGTTCTGTTAAGTTATCATTAGGCTATTATGATTATTTCCAAATTTTTGTTTAAAAGAGACGACAATAAATGCACTGACAGTATTTTGAATGTTAAAAAACTATAATACCAAACCATAAGGTGAGTGGAAAGAGTTAATATTTCATATTTAGCTCAATTCTACACATGTAGGTGCCGTAAAGTCATGGAAAAGTTTTGAAATTTTGAAAAAGAGTGGGAACCCTGGATATTTCAAATTTTACTAAATATATATATATATTTTTTATATAATTATAGTTTAAAATTGTACTCTCTGGTTGAATGAACAGACTGTATAAAGAAGTGGACGTAGGGAGGGCGACGTCTCCCATACCATTCAGCTCCAGTCAAATGAAGCTCATTGAGGCTTGCGGTCAAAGGGGCGAATTTAAAGCTGGCTTCCATTTTAGGAATTGGAATTTACTGATGGACAAAGAAAAACTCCAGGAACATTTTAAGACCGAAATGACAATGCGCACTCACAGTTATAGAGAGAGGGGCCACGATTTTTCCAATGTAAAGTCAATCGGAGCCAGAAGTACCCCTCATGCTCACTTCCTGTTCCCGAGGCATTTCCACAACTCTAACCTAGCAGTAGTGTTGTAGTCAAGACCTCACTAAACCAGACCAAGACCTGTCCGAGACCACAGGGTCCCGATACCAGGACATGACCAAGACCTCTGAGGGTTGAGACTGAGACGAGACCCAGACTTTTAAAGGCAGAGACCGAGAAAAGATCGAGACCAATTCGATACCACCTTTGTCATTTCCTACATTTATTTGTATTTTACACTTATTTTGGGACATATATATCAATGTTTCTGTAATGATAAATCTATTTCCCTTTGATCTGATTAATGTTCATTTAAGCTTAAAATAGGCCAAGCAACTTTGAGAACCCCTTTTTTAATAGTATTTCTAAAAGGGGGGTCTTTTTAAAATCGGTACCTAAAGATGCCTGTACCTCACAGCCTTAACTAGGTTGCATGCTCCAGTTGAACCACTCCTTGGGCTTGTGTACAGCTGTGTCTCATTTTCGTGCATGCACTACTGACTGCATACAGCAGGGGGCAAGTTTTTTTTTTTTATATAAAGTGTCTATTAATCCCACTTCCACTGGAACTTTACAGAAAACAACTTCAAAGTGAATCAAGTGGGTTCATAACATTTACAGTTACATTATCTTACAGGTTTTGCAGAGATATTGAGCAGCCTCTGAACATTTACCGTCCGTAGTGAAATATGATCGCACTAGTCAAGTGTCAGACCCTGAATCCGAGACAAGACCAAGTCAACGCGCCTTCAAGACCGAGACGAGACCAAGACTGTAAAAAAGCGGACCAATCTCGAGTACTACGACACAACCTAGCAACACTAATACAGTATTAGCCAAAACTAAATCCAAATTGCACAGTTTAGTATGACGGTAACTTTAGTAACAATTGGCATGCTACCAACACACTTCCTGTCCTATTCTTTTCAATACTTTATAACAGAACACAGACAGAACAGAGCCGTTTCATTATTAAGAGCTGCGTTTACAACATATCTGTACTGGGACAAGACCTGAGATTTTATATAAATGGCCACATTCCAGACAGGAAACGTACATGGTAGTGCTTCTGGCTCCATTGACTCTGGCTCCAATTCACTTTGTATTGAAAAACATTGCCCACCTATTCTCAACGGCTGCTGTCAGGCTCCTCAGTTTGGCCTTAAAATGTTCGTATGAAGCCACCCTACATGATCCTGGGATTTTTATTTTTGCTATTTTGTTTTGGGTATTTTGCTCACATCAAAAAACACCAAACCAAAGTAAAACAAAAAAAATCGGTCATATGTACTTTAAGTGATCTGAGATGTTTTTAATTTGTGATGATGGTCTTGGTTTTGCTGCTAAAATATGAATAGAAAAAAATTATACAGAGGTGATGCCCAGCCCTGTGAGACCAAATGTTTTTATAAAGTTTTTAATGCAAAGTATAAAACTGGACAGAAATGGCTCTGTGTCTAGCTAGATGTGATTTATCTGTATTTGTCTAGTGTAAATGTTCTTTATAGAGGAGTCCAGTCTGGTCCTACAGCGCATTCCAGTAATTTATCATAGTTCTTGATCTGTCCGTGATTTAAATGAAGCAGTGGCAAAATCTGTTAGCAAGTAGAAATTTAAAAAAATGACATTCTGGGTGAGTTTTGACAAGGAAATATCAGAAAATGCAGTGATAACAATAACCTATCTGGATTCCAGGCTACAGTGGAAAGACTTTTTAGAGCTATTCTGTCCGTCTTTATACTTTGCGTACTCCACATTGGTAAAATATCACACTTGAAAACGATTTGCGTGACGTCTCAGATGAGTATTTCCGATCAGATGACGGTAACAGTGATGAGTGGAGTCTACTGTATGGGTCTGTGCTGTTGTCTTGATGCTCCAGCGGTGCCTGGTTCACCCAAAACCTGTTACACTTTTTCAATAAAAACTTCAGTTCACAAACACCCTGCCTCTGCCGTCTGTTTGTTCACATTTAGTATTCAAACATGCCAGAGTTTAGTCCTGGTTTAGTCTTGGTTTATTTAGTATAATATTGAGGCTGGACCAGTTAATGGATTTTATTAGAGACAAATGTAAGAGTTCTGCAAGATAAAAGTCAAGTTGCCTTACAAAAAATGTCATTTAAAAAAAAAAACACCTCTAAAATAAAAGAAATGCTGCTTGAGTCCATGCATGAGGTAAAATTATAAAGTAAGTTTATTATGTAATTCCAATTTATCTTAAACGGGCCGGTCAGAGTCAACCAAAGGACTGTATGTGGCCTTTAAAATGCCCAGGTCTGATCTAAACTATGAGGGAACACCATTACAAGATGGTTAAAAGCTCCTGAGAGTCTATTTTACATAATATGTCTCCTTTAAAGGTCAGTTGTAAGGTTCTTTATTTGTCATTCATGCATGCGAGAGAAGAAATGTGTCCCTCGAGGTCCAGTGATTAAAGGAGATAATGTCACAGTTTTGCCTTTTGGTTTACATGTTTTCCCCAGTCTGTTCTGGTCCTCCTTTTGTTGCCTATCTCCTTTTCCTGCCTCTCATTCCCTAATCATCCATCATAATGCAACTTAACTTGAGGCCTGTGACTTGAGAAGACTTGTTGCTTCTCCTAAAAAACATATGTTTTTAGAAAATACTTTTCTCTTTACAGTTGATAAATGCGGTGCTTAAATTTACGGGAACAAACTGGAACATGTGTCTTCCACTTCTGTTTGGTACTTTGGATGTAACTGAAGTACTGTGATGTGGTGTCCTCAAATGTACTACAGTAATATACAGTACAACACAATACAATACAGTAACACAGAGGGAACTACATAGAACATAATCCTTCCATTTCAACGCAGACTACAAGACAAAATAACCGTTATTAAGCACTTTTTACTCTTAACTGTTTCTATTCTGGTCGTAATGATTCACACTAAGATTTTGTCAAGACATTTAAAAAGGAAAAATAAGCATTTCTACAACTGTTATATAAATACTCATGTATAAATATACTGTGATTTTTTTAAGTTAAATTTACCGGTAACCCTTTATTATTAGCCTCTCTACATCTGCGTATGCTCTGTTCCACCTCGTGATGTCATGAAGCGGTAGTTTTCAAGTTAACAGCTCCTTTTACCTTTTGGTTAAGTGAAAGAATGAGAACTTCACACATCAGTTACTTGAGATGGATGCGTTGGAGGAGACAGAGCAGCCCAAGAACATAGAGAAAAATCCCGCACACCGTCTTATTTGCAAATTGTGAGATTTATTAGGACAAACCATGCAATGTTTTGGCACAAGGTCTTCATCAGCTCAGGTGCCCATCTTAAATAGGGTGTGGCAAGCGCCCAAGGGTGACAGGTCGAAAAGAAACAGTGTACCCAAAACACACACTTATTTTTTCTATTATTATTCAATGATTTTTGCACAGTTTGTCCTAAATAAATCTCACAATTTGCAAGTAAGATGGTGTGCAGGATTTTTGTCTATGTACCTTTTGGTTAAGTAGATTAGAAATTCCAGGACTGAAATCATCCAAGTGATTCCAGTGAAGGTGTATGTTTAAAAACACAGCGGAGTGTTTTTTCTTTGAGTGAGGAACAGCCTAAATATGCAGGGTTTATGTGGTAAATATGTGTGAGTGAAAGAAAACGCAACTGCAGGTTTATTTTTCACAAGTAAACAACATTAATGCATAATATGGACCCTTTAATTGTTACATTTACATATCACTGTACACAGATGAAGTTGTACCTCTTTTCCTGGTCCTTCTTCACCCACTTCCCCCCTCTCCCCATGGCTGCTGCCTGCCCACACTGGCTCTCCTCCTCGGGTTTGCTCCACTGCTTGAAGACCATGAACTCTCCATTGCTCCACAGCCACAGGTCCAGGAGGCAGGTGTAGTGAGCCCCCAGCCACACCGCCTCGCTGTGGGCCTGCCGGGCTGCCTGCTCCGCCTGCGTCTGCTGCCCCCTGCTGGTGATGGAGAGCAGGCGGCTGTGATTGTGTGCGCAGTAGGCCGAAGCCTCCTCCCAGGTCAGGTTCTGTCTCACTAGGGTCAGTTTCAGGGGTTTGGCTGATCACAACAGAGACACAAACATGAAGAGACACTGCAGGTGAATAAAAATATTACATTTAGGAGCATCAGTTTGAAACCTCTGTAAGTTACTTAGGTAAATGTAAGAAAAGGGTTACATTTGATTTCTTGTTTAGTATTTGAGTACAGACTGTCCATAGACTGTATAAAGAAGTGGACTAAGGGAGTGTGGCGTAAATGAAACAAAACACAACTCCAGGTATGTTTTTGATGAGGTAACAACATTATAACATTGTTTTGCGTAATATAAGACCTTTAGGGAGAATGTGAACGCTCTTACGGTTGTAGCAGATGAACGGGTTCTTCTCTGTACAGTTGGCAGTGGTCCATGTGCCCTTAGGCCCCACTCGGGCACACTGTCCATCGGTAAAACTGGCATTTCCACACATAAAGCCGTGTTGGTGGTGCCAGTGTCTGAAGGAGGATGTGAGGTTAGACCAGGTCCAGGGGTCTCTGAAGAGCCCCACCCACCAGGAACTGTCTTCATGAGCTTGGATCTTGTCCTTCAGGACAGGATCCAGGAGCTGAGACCATCCGCTGAGCAGGTCTACGCTCATCTGTCTGCAGAAGTGCAGAGCCTCAGACCACGTCATGCTTCTGTGGATCACCTCAGAGATGTTGGATCGATCATCTGTGAAGGAAAAGCAAGAGAAGCAGCAAGTTAAACAGACACACATGTACTGATACACGTGCACTGTAGTAATGTAACTGTACTAAACACATGTGCAGTACTCTGACTGTAGTAATGTAACTGTTTGTAGTACTCTGATGGTAGTAATGTAACTGTACTAAACACATGTGCAGTACTCTGACTGTAGTAATGTAACTGTTTGTAGTACTCTGATGGTAGTAATGTAACTGTACTGAACACATGTGTAGTACTCTGACCGTAGCAGATGAATTGCTGGGTGCTGCAGCAGGACTGGAGAGACAGGCTCAGGTCAGAATGGATGGACACACAGTTCTCCATCTTCTCCTGCTGATCAGATGTTTTTTCTGACCTCCACCTCAGTGGGCGCTCTGTGTACTCCTGTCCCACCTGAGACCAGTGCCACTTCCGGATCCGGTTGCGTTGCTGGTTGTTCAGGCCGATCCAGGCACCGGTACAGTTCAGTTCTTCAGCACAGAGCTCCCAGAGGTCCCACTCACTCCAGACTGTGGCCAGGTCAGAGTAGTTTTCCCTGCAGTACCTCTGAGCCTCCACCCAGGTCCTGTTCTCATGGACAAAGATGTAGTCATGGGCCCAGCACCCTGTGAGCGCACATACAACTGGAGATAGAAGTACGACAGTCAGGGCGAAGTAAAAGTCAGACTAATAAACTAACGTAAATACTACTATGATGTTATAAATACTACTATGATGTTATAAATACTGCTATGATGCACTTACTTATGACAGGCCCCAGACACTGCATCGTGATCTGAAGGGGAAACTGGACCACAGGACATCAGTGTTATTATGGATCTGGTCATAGCATTAGTCAGCAAGATGAATTCTCACCATTTTTTGAGTTCACAAACTTGAGAATCCGTCTAGTCTAGTTTTACATGTAAAAGGACCCAGCAGAGGTTTGAGCAGAATGACAAACAAACCAAAACAAACATGGTACTTCAGCTCATTTTGAGAGCCAGGCTATTATAGCATGATGTTCATTCTAAAGAGCATTTAGCCAGCACACAGATACAGATACATTTCAGTGTGTAATTTGTGTTTTGAAAGATTGTGGTTATGTATTTTTCATGTATTAAACCTGATGAAATACCCTTCAGCTCTACAGCTACATGAGTGTCCAAGCTACATGAGTTTTTATCTTCCAAATCAAAGGTGTAACTGTATGTAAGATTTTAATTTTAAATGTAATAAACCCATCTGTGTCCTTGGATACGAGGTACAAGGTAAACATGTTCAAATTATTTATTTTTTTCCTTAATTAAAAAAACATGTAGTCAGGCTGGCACCACCTAGTGCCTCCGCTCAATTTCATTTCTCTCCAGCGACTAGGTCAGGAATCGGACTACATTAGACCAAGGGTGGACAAACTAAGGCCCGGGGGTCATAATCTTTTTAATCCGGCCCGCCAAACTTGATTAATAATAATAATAATTTTCAGTGTGATTTCAATAAATTGTAAATACTGTGGGACTTGAAAGGACAGATATTTTGTTGTAAATCTTTGTAATGAGTTTCAATTATGGGATATTTCAATAATATGGGATATTTTTTGGTCTTATGAGGTGGATTACCAAAAAACTCCATCCATCCGCTCCTGGTCCGGCCCTTCTGTCAAATTTTAGAGCTCTTTCTGGTCCACGAGTCAAAAAGTATGCCCACCCCTGCAGTAGACGGTTCGCAAAAATCCCAAAAGTGCAAGCCTGGGCACCAGCCAATAAACGAAAAGCCGTACATTCTGTGTTGGCAACGATTCCCAAGATCGAGGATTTAAAGCCAGAAGAAAGAGAATGTTTGGTGAATTTTATCAAGGGAAAAGACGTTATTCCCCTTTTTCTTACGGGATTTGGGAAAAGCTTACATACGTCACAACCAAACAGCAGCGATTGGTTAAATTAAAAAAGTACCCTCCTACAGTTGAGTGAACAAATCCTAATGCTGCGAGGTCAGAGGGTTTCCACGAAGTGAGACCTGCAGGCTAACAAAAACACGTTTCCAAGAACAATGTTGAAGTCCATTTGGTTTAAACCTAAAATGCTTCTCTCTGATCTGAATGGTCACTACGTAAACCCAACACCTACAGACAATCATGAATCAGTGCTCAGTTCACTTGTGACTGTAGCACATTTTTGAAAACAGTCAGAAGATTCGAGAGACAGAGATAGAGATAGATGGTTACATAGATAAGATGAATGCCAGTGTTAGGAATTCGCTAAATACAGTACATTAAAAAAACATACATATTCATAATAATAATTTAACTGTATTCCGGTACATTGACTTTTTCATTTGGGTTATTCCAAATGTGGCTACTCTGTGCTCTTACTTGCTGTTGAACATTACAGGCATTTCCATACACCATAAGCAGAGAGCTGGTAGAAGCAGTAGCAGTAAAAATATCTGCAATCATATGTTTCATGTACTTTGTAATTAATTTCTTCTCACCTGAGTACGTGTCCAGCGCTGCTCTGTGTCGCGGCCCTCTGTCTGTGGAAATGGCACCAACTCTTCCTCCTCATTCTGAACATGCAAATGAGTCCCACAATAAAACCATTCTTCAATGTTTACTCTTAACTTGGTTCTGTTTTATTCAAATGTTAACACAATAACTTCCCTACTACTATTACTACTTCTATACAGCGACTGATACTAGTACTTTCAGTAATGGCAACGTAGGAGCCCCCAGAGTCGACCAGGACCCCCAAAATCACTTTACGACCGACCCAAGACGTCCAGCATAATTAAAAAAATGACAAATGGCAAAATTGTTAAGAAATATTTCGAATTCTTTGACTGGTTTTTCGTGTTTTTAAAATACTATTACTACTACTACTACAATGGACAGAAGACTACATTCATACTATAATATTCCCTACAACTGTACAACAACTCACCCTTATGTAACAGATAATACTCCCTACAACTGTACAACTCACCCTTATGTAACAGACAATACTCCCTACAACTGTACAACAACTGGTCTAATACCGGTGTAGCGTTTTTCAAACTACCCCCTTCAAAAATTACCTCCGTCATTTGAAACTGGTTTAAATTACCGGGGTTAGGGTTGGGGTTAGGGTTAAGGTTAGGGTTAAGGGGGATAGCTTGAAACCGTTTTCAAATGAATTTGAAACCAGCTTCAAGGGTAGTTTGAAACCGCGGTAGTTTGAAAACCGCGGGTAGTTTGAAACCTTTACACCGGTCTAGTCCTGGTCTAATCACGGTCTAGTCCCGGTCTAGTCGTGGTTTAATCTCGGTCTATTCAGGGTCTAGTCCTTGTTTAGTCCCGGTCCAGGTCTGGTGTAATCCTCCCAATCGGCTCGGTGATTGTCGCGTATATATTTATTCTCCGCTCATGTTTGTGGTTCTCGCTCTGGTTCTCGGGTCTTTCTTCCTGAAAACAACGTCGCTGCGTCACTGGATACTCGTCCCTGATTGGTTGACGCGGCGCGTCTGACGCGAAAAGTTCAGCATTTTCAACTTCTTGACGCTGACGCCTTGGACGCGCGTCTAAACCGCTGACGCCAAAACGCTCAAGACGCGCCGCGTCGACGCCAGATTTGCGCCGCGCTGACGCCGAAAACACGCCGCAAAAACGCAGGACGCTCTAGTCGCGCGTCCACATAGACTTTACATTGAAACTGGACGCTTTGACGCCTTGGTGTGAACGGCCCTTTATAAGCCTGCCGCTCCACGATCTAAATCATATATCATATATCATATCATGTCATATCAGTCTCTCTCTGTACATGGTGCCGAATACAACAGATCGACTGATAGGTCGGTTGGTAGCCTATAGAGCGGCGGGTTATGTCTGCGGACCACAGGCTGTAAAGTTTATGAGCGCGATCGTCGCGTCAGCTGTTTTCCTGTCTGCAGTAAAATCATTCGCCACTGCACTTCTACATCGGCTCATATGATAGGCTATATGGGAGCACAAAGTTTATATACCGATTCCCCGCAACGCTGCCTGTCAGGGAATTTACCCTAAGACATCAAATTACATTAAATAAGACACACCAAAACGAGACGGCTTAGTTTTTACTTGCGCAAGGAGAGCTGTCCGTAACACTGTCTGACCCTACTCTACCCCACAACTCTCCGAACACCCATTTATTCAAAATCATGACACAGATAAGGTACAATACATGACATCATATCACGCAGTGTTTACATGATCACATACTAACAATCTTTTAGTCTAAACCGCCCTCCCATTTCACACTTGATTTCAGGCTCCAGTGATAAACAATTTGGCCAGTTTTCTCCCAAAAACTTATGCTAACCACATGAGGGAAAAAACCCTTAGCTGTCTTCTCATGGGTGACTAAGTAGAAGCTTAATGAGTCAGGAGGAGGAGGAATAGAACAGAGGAAAAAGAAAAAAGCAAGGAGAAGGAATCAGAGAAGAAGGATTAGAGAAAGGATTCAGAATATTTAAAAGAACAAGAAAGAGGGAAGCCATTAGATACAAACAAAGCTGAAGGTGTCCTCCATCAAAACTGAGTGGAAGAATGAAAATGAGAAGCTTTGGAGTCTCTTGACCAAATTTTGCTCAAAAGAGGTTCCCCAGAGATGCCTTTGGATCCTCGAGCTTCTAAAGTTCTAAGTCAGGTCGGAACCCAAAAGTTCAAAAGAGCCAGATTGGCCCAAAGAGAAACAAAAAACAGACCTGCCTGGAGCCGCAAAAAAAAGAAGCCTTAGAGAAGAATGAAGGAACAGAGGCTGAGGATTAGATATAAACCTAAAGGAGAGGAAGGAGACGAGGAGGGGAGAAGCAAGAAAGGAAGAAGACGGGGGAGGAGGAGAGGAAGAAGAAGAGAGGAGAGAAGGAGGAGGAAGAAGGGAAGAAAGAGTGGAGAAGAGGAAGAGGGGAGAAGCAAGAAAGGAAGATGACAGGGGAAGAGGGGAGGAAGAGGAGATGAAGAAGAGAGGAGGAGGAGGAAAGGAGGGGAAAAGGAGGAGGAGAGAAGAAGAGAGGAAGGAGAGGAGGAAAGGAAAGGAAGAAGAGGGGAGAAAGGGGAGGAGTAGGAGAAGAACAAGAAGGGAGGAGCGGAGAGGAAGAAGAAGAAAGCAGAGGAGGAGGAGAGAAAGAAGAGAGGAGAGGGAGCGGAAAAAACTAGGAGAGGAGGACGGGAGTAGTAAGAAAGGAAGAAAAGAGGGGAGGAGTAGGAGGAGAGGAGCAAGAGGGGAATGAAAAATGAAAATCACCAAGTTTAGTTTCAAGTTTAGTTTCAGACTTTATTTATGGCGGTGGGGTGGGTCGGGTTTTTTTTTTTTTTTTTTTTCTGGTGTGGGTTCTGTCTGTGCTTCTTCATCACATCTGTCTCTCTTTCTCTTCATCCCCTCGTCTCTCGTTCGCTGTCAAACTGTAAACTCTGACTCGGATTTTATCGTTTCTTGTTACATCATACATGTGAGAGAGAGAGGAGAGAGAGAACAGGAGAGGAGGAGAGAGAGACAGGAGAGGAGGAGAGAGAGAGGAGGAGGGAGAGAGAGAGAAGGAGGAGAGAGAGAGCCGCTCTTGGTGTGAGCCGTCCCCCAGCAGCGCGGCTCCTGGGATCATTCAGGCTCCAAAACCCCTCCACCACGGTAAGGTGACGACTCAAGGAGGGGAGGAAAAAGGAGACGACAGGACCGGACAGGACGGGAGGAAAGAGAAAGAGAGAAGAGACGAGAGAGAGAGAGAGAGAGAGAGAGAGAGAGACAGAGAGAGAGAGAGAGAGAGAGAGAGAGAGAGAGAGACAGAGAGAGAGAGAAGAGAGAGAGAGACAGAGAGAGAGAGAGAGAGAGAGACAGGAGAGAGAGAGAGGAGAGAGAGAAAGAGAGAGAGAGGAGGAGAGAGAAACAGGAGGGGGGTGAGAGACATAGATAGACAGAGAGAGGGAGAGATAGAAGAGAAAAGAGATATTGGGGGAGAGACAAAAGAGAGAGAGAAGAGTGAGGGAGAAACAGGGCGAGAGAGAGAGAAGGAGAGAGACAGGAGAGAGAAAGAGAGAGAGAGAGAGGAGAGAGAAGAGAGAGAGAGGAGGGGAGAGAGAACGGGAAGAGAGAACGAGAATGCGTAAGATGGAGGGTAGAGAGAGAGAGAGGAGAGAGATAAGAGAGGGAAGAGAGAGGAGGAGAGAGAGAGGGGGAGAGATTAGGAGATAAATGAGAGGGAGAGAGAAGAGCTAGAGAGAGAAAGGGGAGGGAGGGAGGGAGAGGTGGGGATTAGAAAAGGGGGGAGAGAGAATGAGAGAGAGGGAGAAGGAGAGAGTGGGAGAGACAGAGAAAAAAGGAGAGAGAAAAGCTAGGGAGAAAGAAAGAGAGGAAGAGAGAGATAAGAGAAAGGGAGCAAAACACAGAGTGACAGGGAGAGAGAGAAGAGGGAGGAAGAGAGAAGAAGGAGAGAGAGAGAAAAGGAGAAGTGAGAGAGATAGAGCGAAAGTAGAGGGAGAAGGAAGGACTACTGCTTCAGAAAAGAGAAAAGCCAAGACAAGAAGGATGTGCAAGCTGTGGCAAGAGAAGCAAGAAGAGCAGCAGGCGGGGGCGTGGCAGGAGCGGCAGGCGGGGGCGTGGCAGGAGCGGCAGGCGGGGGCGTGGCAGGAGCGGCAGGCGGGGGCGCGGCAGGAGCAGAAGGCAGGGGCATGGCAGGAACGGCCGGCCAGTACCTGGGACTCAGACGATGAACAGCACAGGGGTACCTAACAGAAGGAGCAGAGCGGGGCAAAGCAGGAGCAGAAGGCAGGGGCGTGAAAGGAGCAGCAGCGGGCGCGGCGGGAGCAGCAGCAGGTGCGGCAGGAGGCACTGGAGCAGCAGCAGCGGGCGCGGCAGGAGGCACTGGAGCAGCAGCAGGAGCGGCAGGAGCAGCAGCAGGCGCGGCAGGAGCGGCAGGCAGTGGGCGTGGCAGGAGCGGCAGGAGCAGCAGCGGGCGCGGCAGGAGCAGCAGTGGGCGCGGCAGGAGCGGCGGAGCAGCAGCAGGCGCGGCAGGAGGCACTGGAGCTGCGGGCGGGAACGTCGGAGCTGCAGGTGGAAACATATCAGCAGCAGGCAGAGGCAGTTTATATATATTTGTTTTTGTTTGTGTGTGTTTTTGAGTGTTTGTGTGTTTTTAAAGGTGTGTGTTTGTTAACGTGCTTTTGTGAGTGTGTTTGAGTGTGAATCTTTGTGTGTGTGTGTGTGCCTGTGTTAGTGTGTGTTTGTGTGAATTTGTGTGAGCGTGAGTCTGTGGGTGTTTGTGTTAGTGTGTGCTAGTGTGTGTTAGTGTGTTAGTGTCTGTTGGTGACTTGGAGTTAGATGAGAGGTCCTGTGCTGGAGATCTGGGGGTCTGGGTGTCTGGGTGTCTGGAGGTCTGGAGGTCTGGGTGTCTGGAGGTCTGGGTGTCTGGAGGTCTGGGTGTCTGGAGGTCTGGGTGTCTGGAGGTCTGGGTGTCCGGGGGTCTGGGTGTCCGGTTGTCTGGGGACCTGAAGGCCCGGGGGCCTGGAGCAGTCGTGGCCCTTGGCTCACACAGACCTGTGGGAAGAAACATTTGTGTCAGACACCAGAACTAACAGGACGCACATACAAGAGTACAGCAAACCTAGAGTACTAGTGTACTAGTTATGTTTTGACAAAAAAGATTAAAAATAAAAATATTAATTACAAAAATTACAATTTTTAGGGTATGTACCGCTTAAAGATAGACAGTTTGTTAAGTCAAAAAAGGCAGATTTTGTACTTCATTTTCGATTTAATCAGTTTCATCAATTTTTTTGAGTAGCCCTAACTTGTCAGATTTTAGTGAAGACTATACTTCGTGGGTGGAAGAGAATTCATCAATGGTTCTGAACTGTCTCCTTGAATAAAAAAGTGACTATTAATGTCGATTCCACAGAAGAGGACCTCTGGTTTGGTGCTTCATGTTCTCAGCTTCAACTATATTCTCTTATGAAGATATGACTGTTGTTATTGACTGAGTCTTATTAAAACATTTTTCGATTTTACTCTAATAGAAATAATGCATACTATGAATGAAAAAAACAGACAGCACATACTTTGAGTTAGTCTAAGGGTTTACTTAGAGCATTATCTTTTGTTTATCTCTGTTCATTAGAGTTACTACTTTAAACTTTAATCTTTCTATCTTCTCTCTTGGTGATGGGGGTTTGTAAAATAACACCCAACGCAAAATTTTATTTCTTTTGGTCAAACAGTTTAAATCTGATTTTGTCGATGTTCAGGAATCTCACTGTATTATAAATGACCCTACTTTTAGGAATTTTCAGTGGGGTAATACAACTGTTGGGCAAGTTACTTCAAAACTGTAATTCGTTATTTATGACTTGTTACTGTCATTTCAAAGTAATCCATTACATTACAATATCACTGCATTTAAAATGTAAGACATTACATGACTACTGCAGCACTTTTAAATAACTCTCACCAAAATAACTGAACCAGGACTAGGACCAAACAAAGGTATAAACCAGGACCAGAGCTGAACCAGAGCTGAACCAGAACTGAACCAAGACTAAACCAGGTCTAAACCAGAACTAAGCCAGGTCTGAATCAGGACTAAACCGGGACTAAACCAGAGATGAACCAGGACTGAACCAGGACTAAACCGGGACTAAACCGAGACTAAACCAGGACCAAACCAGGACCAAACCTACGCAGGTGCACCTCCGCCGCTTAACTGCTGCTGATATCGTGGTGATTTTAGCTAATTTGTATGAAGAGAAACGAAAAAGCCACCACTTCAGCCCAGGTTAAAAGAGCTTTGTAACGCGTGTTACTGACATTTGTACCTTGTCAGATATATATATATTTTTTTCCCCTTCAATGCCTTACAGTACTGCGTCACAGCAAAAAGCAATGCATTACAGTATTCGTTACTTTTAGTCACAAACCTCTGGCTTTTTCGTCCCAAGAGAATTGTAGTCCAAGTCAAGGGGGGGGTTCAGGATTTGTTGGAAATGTGAAAAGGAAGAACTGATTTCATTTTGGGGTTGATCCCGGAAGAAATCCTGGATTCTGGATCACTTTGAAATTTTAGTTAGCATTGTGGTAAATGGGGCCAAAAATTTTGTTTCTCAATATCTCGGTTAATTATTGACCAAACCCCATGAAATTTGACTCAGGGATGGACAATGGGATCCTCTTTCATATTCCAAATTGAAAGATACGAGACAAATATTTATGGAAAACACAATTAATATGAGAGGGACTGTAGGCCTGCGCTCTCTGAGTGCTTTTCTAGTATTCTTGTATATTTTTACGATCACAGAATTGTAATTCTGCTCCGTGATCACTGGTCGTGTCTAACGGGCTCGGTTCTGGCTGGACGCCGCTCTCGGCGCTCTCCCTTCGGCTGTGGAGCGACGGTGACACCGGTGTCTGATCTGGTTGTGTTTTTAACCAGAGATAATTATTATTTGTGTAGACTAGAGTGTCGACTGTTGAGTTGAGACTAAAGTGCAGTCATGTCAGTGCCTTAATACAATAATTTAACGCAACGTGCCTTAATACAATAACGTAACGTAATAAAAAGCACAACTTTTAACAACAGCTAACGTTAGCTAACCAACCAAAACTTATGTTGTTTTTCCCCAGATGACACCAGGACCCTGTCCTTCTGTTGAGTGTCCCCATCAGGAGCCCGGCACGCTGATCAGAAGAGTAAGTACTTTTAATGATTTCTGTGACAGTGAGGATTTAGTTTAGAGCCAGATCTGACTTTGTCTCTAACTTTCTGTTATGGGACTTGAGACGTTGCTTCAGACTTTCAGTGAGAGATGTTGACATGAACACTAATGTGTCACATCTATATTACACTGATATTGACTATGAACACCATCATAAATTGATTATTATATTTTAAATGTTGTGGTAAAAGTAAATGTAGTAGAGTATTGTGTATTAACAGCAGTGAAATATGTCTCATGTTCATACTCAGGCTTATACTAAAACAAAAGAGTTCAGTTTTACTGCGCTAAAGTATTTCCTATGAGTTAAATAATGTTTTTCATCTCTGTTTCAGAATATACTATGGTTAATAAGAAGATGGACATAACAGCATGATAAAGACCCTCTGGAGGTAAATACTGAATTTGTATTAAACACTGTGGCCTGAAATGATCCAAACTGATATTTGTGTTTCTCTTATTTGATGTTTTACAGAATTCCCTCTGCTGGGCCAAGTTCCAAAAATGTAGAGACAGACCCTCTGTAAGTTTACTGTATTATCCTACTTTTATTAACTTTCATAACTAAACATATGCACATTATAATCACACCTGTTGTTGTGCATATTGTTTCTTTCAGAAAATGCTGTGGTGGAGTTTAAAGACTGACCCTGTGTAAGTGCACAGATCTCTCCAATCAAGTATTCACCCTTCATGTTCAAATCACACAGCCACTGTCATGACTTACAATGTTCTTCACAAACCTGAACTCTAACTCCTTACAAGAATAAGAGGTGTAATGGGGTGTTTAATACACACTGGTGTCATTTCAGATGCTGTGAGAAAGGGGAAGTCCAGAGCTGGACACTGACAGACTGGATCTTCACCAGTAGGACTGAAGAGGAGCCAGCCTCACTACACCTCTGCCTCAAAACCTCTGCCTCAGACTGAAGCTAAAGACAGAGGCTCTGAAGCTCCCACACTGCACACTCTATAAGAACAACCATCCGTCTAATTGTACTGTGGTGGTAAACACAAGTAAAGTTTTAGTTTTAACAGTATGGTATGGCTACACTCAGTCTCATTTGTCCAGGCTTTTACTCATATAGCTTATATTTGTTTTTTGCCATTTAAAAAAAAAACAAACAAACTTTGCTTATCTTGAACTATTTTTAGTAAAAACTGTAAATTGTCATTTTCATATTAAGAATGAAGCATTGGTTAACTCAAAGGGTATATAAGTCCTATAACATTAATAATAATTATTCATGTCCTAAGATTTCTAATTAATGATTTAAATAAAATTTTTACAATGTAAAAAAAAAAAAAGTTTCTTTTTTTCTTAACTAATGAGATTTAGTGATAGGATATCACTGATCCAACTTTGAAATTGTTTAAGTTTATATTTTTAAATTTAAGCCTTTATATTCTAGTTTTAATACTTGCTGTAAAAGGTTTATGCTGCTGGTGTGTATTTAGGTCAGTAGGAAGTGGATCAGTATTAAATCTGAAGCATATGGTTGGTTGACGCGGCGCGTCTGACGCGAAAAGTTCAGCATTTTCAACTTCTTGACGCTGACGCCTTGGACGCGCGTCTAAACCGCTGACGCCAAAACACTCAAGACGCGCCGCAAAAACGCAGGACGCTCTAGTCGCGCGTCCACATAGACTTTACATTGAAACTGGACGCTTTGACGCCTTGGTGTGAACGGGTATGGTGCAGCTATAGCTAAAAAAGACAGTGAACTACATAGACCACGATCCTTTGCTCTATTTCAGTGCAGACTATATGAAGAAATAACAGTTTTAAACACTTTTAAGTCTTAGTTCTTTAGAGTGAGTCTATCAAGGCATTTTAAGAGGAAAAAGTGGCATATTAACAGTTTTGTTTGTAAGCCTCCACAAAATATCGCAATAAATATCGTACCATAGATATATATCGTGAAAATATCGTGAAAACCGAGAGATTTGGATATCGTTACATCCCTAATCGTGAGCCTTTCCCACGACAATATCGCAATAAATTTCGCACCGTGACAATATCGTATCGTGAGACTCATCTAAAACTCAGCAATAATTTGTTCTGCAGTTCTCTCTATGGCCAGCAGATGGCGCCACAAACAACAAAAAAAAAACAACAGCTGTGCCAAAGGGCTGCGCTGATTTTAATGTAAAAAGTTTGGAACCGTCTTTTTTTTTTTCCAGTAATGCAGAATTATTAACTAGACTCAACATTGGACAGTATGTTCCCTGCCGAGCTCCTGCGTGACTTTACAGCCGCGTGTCGTTGCTTATCTGCGGGGAAAGTGTGTCGGGACCTCTGCAAAGATCCCGACCGTCGATACTAGGTTAAGGTTCACTGTTACTTCACCCGCTTTTCACGCCACAACTACCGCTTTACTTTCACCTTCAGCTCCACTCCTCTCCTCCTGCAGGCTCCGGCGGGTCCTCGGCGTGGCATGTGTCCGGGTGTGAGTGCGCCATGAGCGGCCCGGAGCTGAGCGAGCTGCCGGACGAGTCGGAGGCGCTGGTCCCGTACGTGAGCTCCCTCCGCCGGGCAGCGCTGCAGGCCCCGGAGCTGACCGGGGTCCGAGCGCTCTCACACGGCTTCCTGCTCAAGTTTCTCCGCGCCCGGGACTTCGACGTGGAGCTCGCCCTGAAGGTAAACAGCCAGGGAGAAGAAATCAACACAACCAAAATAGAAATGTTGAAGGATTAAGTGTAGAAAACTGATAATTGAGGTTTAATTTAGTCTAAAGGTGACCAGACGTCTCTATTTGCAAGGGACAGTCCCAGTTTTGAGGGATTTGATTTATCCCAAACCAGTGATTTGTCCCAGTTTTATACAAAAATATGTACCAAGTGTCACTATTTTTGACCAATCTGATGTTAAAGAGAGGCATACATTGTCATTTGTTTAGGTAAAATACTTAAAAGCTGCTTTAAAATGACCAAAACACAAAGAAAATATGACTAAACTGACTCATAAAAACTAAAAGCTAGCGAAGTTAATTAAGATGACTTGAAATAAGAAAGTTTGAGTCAGTTTCACATGACAAGTAAAATGATCTCCCAATGGAACAAGACGTTTTGTACTTAAAATATGAAAATGCATCTTGCTGCTCTTAAAATAAGAAAAACATAAACTTTTTTGCACTTAAAATAAACAAAATGAAATACAGACTTATTCTTTTGGTAGATAATTTCATTTGTAACGTTGAATCTGCTCAAATAAAGTCAAATGTTCTTAATTAGTCATTTTCATTTAGCTAGATGTTGTTTTTGCAGTGAGTACATAACAATTTTTCTTAATCACGCACTCGTTTCACAGTTTTATTATTACCAACCAACCCAAACCAGGGATGTCAGTTTTGAAAATTTGGTCACCCTAATTTAGTCAAAACTATTGCCGGTGTTGGTATTTCAGGTAACAAAGTACAAAATTAAAAGTTCGGTACTGTGTTTACTTTTTTTAGGTTAACCTATTTGTACTGTAACCTACTTAATGTTTGATCAAGGCTATTCACTTCAGCTCGAGGTGCTGTAGAAGAGGCAACAATTGGCAGCTTTATTGATAATATACAGATATGATTAGATAGGATTGTGTTTATGAATAGACCCTTGTTTTCTTGTTGTTATCACACTGTCCCATCAGAGACAGGGACATGAGCTCAGTGGTGGAAAGATAACTGAAAATGTGTACTCAAGTAAAAGTACTGCCCTAAAAATGTACTCAGTTACCTACAAGTTCAAGTGCAAATACAAGTATGCATTGGAAATAGGACTACTTTTTAACACCATTTTAGAATCATGTTAGATCACACATTCATACAAAACTCGATCAGTCCAAAAAAGTGTAAACATTTAGTTGTTTTAAGCAATAATAAGGCATGCAACGATCCAGCTTTTTTTAGTTCCGATTGCAATATCAGTACTTTGATTGTAAGTTGAAAATGGTACTTATTTCCTTAAAACACAGTTAACTTTTTACACAAGAGATCCAGTTGTGTTATGCAAATATAATTTATCCTTCAAATCACTACACAATCACTACTACCCTGATTCATCAGCTGGTTTCACTTTGTGGAAAACGTCTGACCTCACAGCATTAGGATTCGTTCGTTCGACAGTAGGTGGATACTTTTGTTAAATTTAACCAATCGCTGCTATTTGGTGGTGACGTGTGTAAGGTGCCAAATCCTGTAGGAAGAAGGTCAATAAAGTCTTTCCCCTTGATAAAATTCACCAAACAGTCTCTTTGTTCTGGCTTTAAATCCTCGATCTCGGGAATCGTTGCTAACACAGAATGTCTGTCATTGTCTACATCCATCTCGACCGCTTTGTCTGCCTGTAAATCATCTTATTTCATCCAATTAAAGCCCAAGCAGGAAATCAGCTGAACCAATATTATGAATCCAGGTATTTTTTCAGTATCAGCGATGCATATTCTCAGAGATCTGACCAATCAGAGTGGGCGATGCTGTTGTGTGTTTGTTTGTTTAGAAAGGAGCAAAGAGATGTGGGACACCCACACGTTTGGACAGTTTGGACTTGTGCAGTACTCAGTAACTGCTATGATTTAGAAAGAATCTAATTACAATAACATGTCTAGAATTTTACTCAACTACAAGTTCAAGTACAGGTTTAAAAATCTATTCAATGAAGTACAATTACCTTAAAAGTCTACTCAATTACAGTATCTTAAGTATCTGTAACTAGTGACTTTCCATCCTTACATAAACTGTAACCATAATTTCACTTTCTACAATCAGAGTCAAAAACAGAGGCTATAAGTTGAAATCTTGAGGTGGCTATTATAGTTGTTGTTCAGCACTTTGGTACACTTAATATTTGAAATACCAATTTGACAATATTCTTTTATTTGGGAGGATTAGAACTAGAAAGGTCAGTGTTCTCTCTTTGCAAAGTTTTTTTTTTTTGGCACGGAAATGGTCAAATGAGAAGTCCCACCCTCTGGTTTCCTCCTGATAATGCTGTGCATGTTTTTGTGTGTGTGTTTATTTATTTATTTTATTGGAAAACCCCTTGACATTTGACATTTCATTTTCAAGGGGGTTCAAAATACACAAAACATTAGAAATACACAATACAATGGACACAAAACATAATAATAATAATTGAGACCGGGACCAGACCGGGACCAGACCGGGACCAGACCGGGACCAGACCAGGACCAGACTGGGACAGAGACCGGGACAGAGACCGGGACCATACCTGGACCGAGAGTGGGACTGAGACCGGGACTAGGTCGGGACAAGACCAGGACTGAGACTGCGACCAGGACTAGGACTGAGACCGGGACCAGATCGTTACAAGATCAGAACTGAGACCAGAACCAGACCGGGACCAGACCGGGACTGAGACCGGGACCAGACCACGACTGAGACCAGACCAGGACTGAGACCGGAAGAATCCTGGTTTAGTCCTGCTGTAGATCTGGTTTAGTCCTGTTTTAGTCCTGTTTTATTCCTGCTTCAGTCTGTATGCGGCGCAAAAGTCCAGCATTGGAGTTTAAGGCACGGAAACAGGAAACGGCCGTTATCCCTTTTTTTTTGCATTATTCATTTAAACACAAATACAAAAACCGAAACCCCCCCCCAAAAAAAAAACAGTAATTATCATTTTTTTTTTTTGGTTTTGGAGATAAATAATGAAGAAAATCGTTCATATTTTTTGTTTTATTTTGAAAAACAAATGAATGAATAATACACGGATTAGTGTGGACAATCTGTTCTGATCTGAAGGGGACTTGTAATGAAATGATCTGCGTGTTTGTGTTTATGTTTATGTTTGTGTTTGGTGTGTGTGTAGTTGCTCCTGAACTACCAGCGCTGGAGGAGGGACAGTCCTGAGATCAGCCTGTGTCTGTCTCCCCACTCTGTCCTGGGTCTGCTCAGAGAGGACTACCACAGCGTCCTGCCTGTGAGGGACCACAGCGGCAGCAGAGTGCTCGTCTACAGGATCGGTACGAAAACCTCTGCAGTCACAAACACTGCAGATTTCAAGGTGCACTGTGTAACTTCACCTGCTTGTTTCTATGGAGATGTCATTGCCTAGAATGTTCCACAGTATGACATTAAACAGCTCTACTTTACATTTACTCAATAACAGGTGGTTTTATAGCTCAAAAATACCTAGAAAAACAACATTCTCACTGTGAGCGGGGTCGCCTCTCCTCAGATCTGACCTATAACTTGGTCTGGTTTGGTCTCCATGAAGATAGAAAAGTTTAATGCCATACTGCAGCGGTCCCCAGAAAAAGAAGAAAAAATACTAAATACACAATTGAACAGCACATTATCAGGATCATTACCTGTGATCAATACGAGGTCCATGGTCCTGTTTAGGAGTTTGATTTTCAATAAAAATGTGTCATTTGATTTGATGGGGACTTGTTTACCAGCACAAATCTGCTCATCTTTTGTATTTCCAGCTAAGTCAGTTCTTTCTGGTCAGATTGTGTTAAAACAAAGCTCAAATTAAAGTCTAACTGGAGTATCTGAGCTTCAGACGGAGCAGTGCCTACAGTTTGCATCACACCCAGGGAAAGTGTGACACTGCAAAGTATGGAGCGAGTTTGTCTCATAAATATTTATACAAGTAAAAAATTATAAATATACATATAATTATAAATATCCAAATGCAAAATACAAACATAAAAACGTGACATACAAATAAATAATATAATAATGTGTATTTGTAAATATATTTTCGAGATTTGAAAAAAAAAAGTCTGCATTTGTGGATCCCTGTTTTGCTTTTCTCTCGATGTAATTTTGAGACATTCCTCCCACCCACCAAGATTCACAAATATTTATACATGTATGTATATTGGTATTGTATTTGTATAATTTTTTTATTTGTATAAATATTTATGAGACAAATCTCGCCCCATAGCATCAATTATTAATTCACAACAAATGACAGATATCTGGTTGCTTCCTAATTGCATTTATCTAAAAAATGTGTTCCCTCAGCCCTATGTTCCCTCATTTCTAAGTTTTTTTTTTCCTCTAAATTAGGCCCTATGTTCCCACATTTCCTTTGTCATCAGTTTGCATCAGAATTTTTATTTCTGCCAATTTAGTCAATTACACCCGGCCTATTAACCAGATGTAATGTAGAGGTCATGGTGCAAAGGATTCTAGGTTGAAATAACTGTGAATCATCCCTTTAAATGAGGTATAAAAATAAAAATGACTTGACTTAGAGTTTAATTTTGAGAAAAATCTTAGAAATAAGGGAACATAGGGCTGACCCCAAAAAATGCACTAAAACAATGTCGGTCCTCTACAGGTCAGTGGAACCCCAAAGACTGGTCGGCCGTCCATGTGTTTCGGGTCAGCCTCATGACGTCTGAGGTCATCGCCATGGAGACCCAGACTCAGAGGAGGGGCGTGAAGGTCATCTTCGACCTCCAGGGCTGGTGTTTAGGCCACGCCCTCCATGTCACGCCCTCACTGACCCGCAAGATCTCCTCTGTGCTCTCGGTACGACGCTTCAAATCAATCTATATGTTCTGTTGTATTGTACTTGTATATAATAACAGTATTTTTGCAATCTGCAAGAAATGTGTTGAAACGTGCCCATACATGTCTTGTTTGAGGTTCAGGTTTTTAGAAAATGACTATGAAAACGCAAGTAGTTGGTGACTAACTATATACTTTCACACATCAGGTTGATTTTTAAGTCAGACCTATTCTGTAAAATCAACTTTTCAGTTTTTTTTAACCATGTTACAGTTGTTTTCCCTCACCATTTAACTCAATTATTTTTTCCATGGGGCCACATGAGAACCAGAAAATATTGTGGAGGGCCGGGTCAAAATACTTAACTTAATTCTGCAGAATATTAATTGTATTTTTTTAAAAATAAAAAGCAGTAAATGGCATTGTTTTGACGAGTTGGTAAGACTGGTAAGAGTTTATATTATGAATATATAATGAAAAAGTGAGGTTGCCTTACAAAAAATGCAATAAAAAAAAAAAAAAAAACTCTATAATAAAAGCAATGCAGCTTTAGTCCATGCATGAGGTAAAATCATAAAATATGTTTATTTTGTAATTCCAAATTATCTTAAATGGGACGGTCAGAGTCAATCAAAGGGCCATACGAGGCCCGAGAGCTGTACAATGCCCAGGTCTGGTGTAAAGGGTACTGTCTACCCAGTGCCCAGTGTAAGGAGGGGCTCCTCATGAAGTTATTATACATGTAGTTTGGGCCCACCAAGATGATTTGTACCCAGGGCCCAGAATTTGGAGCTACATCTCTGCCTTCCTGATGTTGTATTTGGAGTGATTTCTGCATGTTTGTCTCATCTATACACTGCAAATGTATCAAGTTCTGCAACCTTGTTTTTTTTTTGGTTTTTTTACACTCCTTTTAATTTTGTATAAACCATTTTTATCTGACATTATCTTACCTCTCGCTTTTTATAGAGATTATCAAAATATCAAAGCAACTTCACGACAAGTTAAAAGTTTGGAAACACTTTTTCATTTATGTTTCCATGTAGACTGTAGATTCTCATTAAAGGCGTCAAAACTACAAATGACACATGTGGATTGTAAACACAAAATATACTCAAAACAACTCAAAGCTTCTTAATTTTTTATTTATTTTCTTTTCAAAAATAGCCTTTACCCTTTGTTTTGATCACTGACTTGCACTCTTGGTATTAAAAGAACAGACTCAAGACAGTTGTGAAATGAAAAGGCCAAGGGTTTGTAGTTTGTAACAAAGCAAAGGGTGGATACTGTGAGGATTTTTTTTCGCTTTGCTACATAATTTCGTACATTTTCCATCATATATTTCATGTCCTCTGTATGTATTTAAAATGTAAACTTTGGTTGAGAAAAATACCCAAAGTGCATTGATGAGAGGGTGTGTCCAAACTTGCAATAAAAGAGCAACAAAATCCTCGACAGCTACTCAAATCTCTCGTTTGGAAAAGGTCAAAAGATACTGTGTCGTAAATACTGTAGTCTCTTCTCACACTAACCGTTTGTGGTGTTGTTGTTGTTTTTGTCAGGATGCGTTTCCTCTGAAGGTGCGGGGGATCCACCTGCTCAACGTGCCTCTGTTCTTCCGCCCGGTGCTGGCTATGATCAGACCCTTCCTCCCCGACAAGATCAGACAGAGGGTTAGTGCTTCAGTCTGGTTTGAACAGTTTAGTCCCAGCTCAGTCCTGGCTTTGTTTGACCATTTGTCATTTTCTGATCACTTAAAAGATGCACTATAGAACTTTTCTGGTGAAAGTTTTAGCACCTTCTTTTCTTTGCCTGAAATAATCCACAGTGGCTTTAAATGTATGGGATTTGGAACATTATAAATATGCATTCTGACTGTGAACAGGCTCACCTTTCCACAGATCTGTCCACACTGCAAAAAGTAACATCTGGGTTAGTTAAAACGTCTTAAATAAATAACTTTTGACTTTATTTGAGCAGATTCTATCAATGGAATAAGTGTTTTTCTTATTTTAAGTGTAGCAAGATGAGATTTCATATTTTAAGTACAAAAAGTCTTGGCAGATAGTTTTTTACTTGTCAAGTGAAATTTACTCAAATCGTGATAAATTTTTCTTAATTCAAATCATCTTTGTTTAAATTAAGAGTTATGGTGCAGCAATAGCTAAAAACAAACAGAGGGAACTACACAGACCATGATCCTTTGCTCTATTTCAGTGCAGACTACAAGAAGAAATAACAGTTCTAAACACTTTTAATTCTTTTTTTTTTACTTTTTATTTGTTCACTTTTTAAGGTTTAGAGAAACAAACAAGTAAATACAAAAACCTGGGGCACTGTTCCAATGTTATAAGGATATAGAAGTCAAATCTCTTTTTGTTTATATTTCAACCATTTTGTCCAGTGTTTAATGAAGATATGTCCTTTGAGACGTAGAAAAAAAGTCAGTCGCTCCATGGAATATATTTCTTCTATAATGTCTAGCCACTGATTCACTGATGGTGGGTCCTTTTTAAACCAGCTTCTTGTTATTGCTTTTTTTGATGCCAAAGTCAGAATCTTAAAAAGGTATCTGTCTGCTTTTTCGATCACTTCTTCAGGCAGAAGGACTAAAAAAATATCTTCGAGTCCTTGGGGACAACATAAGTGAAGATCGTATCTGTTTTTTCAAACACATTGTTCCAGAATTATTTTACTTTTGCACAAAAAATGTCCAAAGAATATGAGAGTGACTGGTGTTTCAGTGGCCACACTGTCTCCAACAGTGAGAATCAAACCCTTTTACTTTGGCAGTAGTTTGAGGAGTATAGGAGTATAGCAGGACACTTCCACCCAAATTCCCTCCACCTTTTGGAGCTAGTTGTTTGTTTATTTTTTGCTGCACATCAAAAGCCAATCATCCTCTGATAAAACAATATGCTGGTCTTCTTCCCATTTAGATTTAGCATAAAATGTGATATTATCCTTTTGTATTTGCAACCCTTTATAAAGTTTAGAGACAGATTTGCTGGGCAGAGTTTTATAATACTTTAAGAAAAGCAATATTGCTGTTATCATCTTGGCTTATTTCTGTGTTGTAAAAATGACGTATTTGTTGATACCTAAACAAATCTGTGTTATCCAAATTGAATTCTGTGTTCAGATTTTCAAATGATTTAAAAGTGTTTCTCTTCACAAACGTGCACAAGGCTGTTAGTCCTTTTTCTTTCCAAGATGAAAAGGTTGAGTCTGCACTACCCGGCTGAAACCTTGAGGAGGAAGAGGGCCAGACCAGGATTCCAACTGCTTTCGACAAATAATATTTTCTAATAACTTCATGCCATGTTAGAGTATTCTCCGTGATACAGTTTCTCCTGCTACACGCTTTCATTTTTTCACCTAGTTGTGACGGCAGTGGAGGGTTTATAATCTAATCTCTTTTAATATATTTATTGTTGCCTTGAGTAAAACATCAGTATGCACAGTAGGTTTTCCTTTGTTCTTCCTCAGATCCACGTGCACGGCTCGGACTACACTGACTCTTTGTTGGACTTCTTCTCGGCGCCAGTGCTGCCGCCGGAGTACGGAGGGGAAGCGCCAAGCATCCAGGAGGCGTGTCAGGCCTGGACCAATCAACTGCTGCAGTCCGAGAGCTTTCTGCAGAGCGTCGCGTCTCACCCAACGGGAGACATCAACGTGACCCCCGACAACGCTACCTCAGAGGGAGCAGAGATCAGGATGGACTGAGGAGATGTTCATGTGTCTGTGTAGTTTTTATAATTCAGACTCAAATGTGTTACTAAAAAATTTACTCTCTTGTACATGTTACTGGTGTTCACTTTAGTTGAGATCTATTCTGGAAAATCAGTTTTTTAGAGCTTTTAACCATGTTATAACTGTTTCCTTCCTCAATTACTCTTTCAAAGTTGTATTCAGAGTGATTCATACATGTTTGAGCAACCTTTATTCTTCTGTATCCAAGACGTCACTGCTCCGATCAACAGGCTCTATTCACGTTTACGTCACAAACCAGGAAAACGTTTGGAAACATGCACCCCAAAAGCCATATACTCAACCTGACATGCCGAAATACACACAGGTGTCATATAGATTGTTTGTTTATTAACAAAAAACTCACTTTCAGTACGAACATGAAGGCGCCAGCCCAGTAAAAATCTGTAATATTTGGTGTTTTTTTTACTCAAAATAATGCAGAATCATGTTATTAACATTAACACGGTTCATAATCACCTACAGAAAATAAATCATAGACTACAACACATGAACCAGGACTGAACCAGGACTAAACCAGGACAAAAAGATGCTAAAACAGGACTGAACCAGGACTAAAACAGGACTGAACCAGGACTAAAAAAGGGCTAAGACAGGACTACTACACCAGGACTTAAACAGGACTACACCAGGACTACACTAGGATTAAACCAGGACTAAACCTGGTCTAAACTAGGTCTAACCCAAGACTAAAACAGTACTCAAAAAGGGCTAAGACAGGACTATTACACCATGACTACACTAGGATTAAACCAGGGCTAAAACAGGTCTAAACCAGGACTAATCTTGGACTTGAGAGCGAGAGAACCCGTGGAGCAGAGTGTCTGCAACGCTCAACCCGCCAACGGCTGCGCTGAGCCCCGTGGGACGCGGAGTTCTAAGTCAGTCCTTTCGCCTGCGGTCACCCGACATTTTATATGTGTGCTCCTCTGGGCCCGTCCTGACACTCAGTCCTGGTTCAGTTCTGGTTTAGTCTTGGTTTATACCCGGTTCAGTCCTATTTTAGTCCTGGTTCAGTTCTGGTTCAGTCCTCATGTCTCAGGTCACTATAGGACAGTCCTGCAGATACCATGAGTCTATGCAGGCTGTTTTCATCATTGCCAATAGCTCCAGTTTGGCATTTAAGTTGTAGCTATTTTATATTTGTTTTTTTTTTTATATCTCACGTCTGGAGAAGTGGGTGGACGGCGAACCCCTGCGTACCACACCCACTACCCTGGAAACATGTAACATCAACTTCCTGTGGGCTCTGTTTGCAGTAGTAAGTCTGACAAAATCTAGGGAAAAATGAGAAAATGTCCCAGTGCGATTAGAAGAGATGAGGAACCAAATTCAAGATTCCAAAACGGCACATACGTTTGCAGTCTTCATTTTAGCGTTGATCACTTTTACTTCATTGGGTTTGATCACAGTCGGGTCGGCGAGCCCAGTGTCGGGAATTACACCGGAAGTTGTCATTGCATGTTTTCAAACGTCTTCCTGGTTTGTGACATAACGTGAATAGAGCCGACTGCCGTTTTCACCTCCACCGGTACCGATTCGTTCTCCAATTTTTTCTTAATCAGTTATCAGGGTTATTGTTCCTTATCACAAACAAATCTGGAGTTGTGTTTTATTTCATTCAAACGTTTAACACACAAACTCTCCATATTTAGCCTGAGTCTTTTCCTCCTTGTGATGTCATGAAGTGGCAATGCTCCACTGTGTTTTTAAACTCCATACACCTTCGCTTGAATTATCTGGATAATTTCAGACCTGGGATTTTCAATCTCTGCTAAGCAAAAGTGAAAATGAGGTGTTAACTTGAAAACTACAGAAGAAGAAGAATCTAACACATGTTGTTCATTATTTACTCATTTTATGCAATGTTCTGTACTCTTTGTTTTAACTGTGAAATGTCAATTTTTATACCTTTTTTAATTCCAATGCACTTTTTAATATTTGCAAAAAATGAAGTTTATCTTGGACGAATAATTTTGATACAATAATGTCACATTTTATATTTTTATCAAATGAAGGGACAAGTGAAAATTAAAGAGACTTGTTATGATGTTTGTATTTTATGTTTACACTTATTATTACTACATATTATTGTTGCTGTAACAAAAGGAATAAGCCAAGTTACAGGTCAGATCTGTGGAGAGGTATTTCTCAGCAGTAGAACCTCCTTATAAATGCTTATAAGAGTTTAATACCAAATTCCAAACTACAGTAAACTATGCTAGAATATTCCAGACAATGCACTGACATCTCCATGAAGACAGGAACCTAATGGAAATCAATCAGGAAAACATCTTAATTTGAAAGCCATTTACTCACATGTAAGAAAAAATTTACCATTTGAGATATTCAAAAGAGACACATGAAAAGAGCCAGGATTAAATTTCTTGCTTCTTTTTTTTGTCATATTAGATACAAAAAAATATACAGAGGGAACTTTGGATATCTTATTTTATTTTTGAGTAAACTAAATCTCACTGAAAAATTTGTCTATAAATTCAATTTTATTTTACAACATAAATTAATCTATAATGAAAAAACGTGCAAAACGTCTGATCAAAAAACTTTTGTCCAGTGACAAAATTTTTCTTTTGCCATGGATCCTACCTGGACAACTGAGGGATTACACAGACATTGTTTCTCAAGTCCTCAAGCACTCAGGGCTGCACAAGTACAGGGATTGAGAAACAGCTTTGTCTAGAGGATTGTTACTCTCCTCACACTGCCCTCATACTGGATCTGATAACTCGTTTAGCTGCATGATGCTGTTTCTCAATCCCTGTACTTGTGCAGACGTGTGTGTTTTTGTGGACTTGTGAAACATCACGCTCCACGACCCAAGTCCTGCAGCCAGATGTTTGTAGTTAAAAACACCTGGCTGTAATTGGGATAGTCCTGCGTGATGTCACATAGGACTTGAAATTGTAGAATGAATGAAAGTCAATCATTATAGACTAAATATAACATTTTTTTTGGACTCTTCTTGTATTCAACTGTCTCCTGCGTACTCTGCGTGTATAAAGTTCAAACTGAAACTGAGAGTGTTAAACTCTGCTTTATAGACTCTATAGACGTGTTTACAGAGCAAAGGTTAGCACAATGTGTTGCAACACCACACACTATCAGAGAAGTGAGTATGTAGCCAAAATTGTACTCAGTACTTCAAAATAATATTACTCAAATCGAAGTACAAATTAGAGGACCAAGAAATGACTCCAATAAGAGTGAAAAGTATTTGGACAACTACTTATCAAGTAAGACTAACTTTGTGGCAGAGTTGAAAAGTACTCAGCTACATTTACTCGAGTAACATTTTAAAAGAATTGTATTTTTCGGAGTATTAGCGGCACTTACTTTTACTCCGACTTGACTCATATTTTTATTGAATAACAACCTTGAGTAAAAGTTGTGGTTCCTCTTCCCACTCTGAGTCTAAAGTGACAAACTCTTTATGTGACAATATGAAATGATTTGAACATTTGTGTTTCTTGCAGCTCCTTCAGATATAATTTAGTTTGTCTCATTTTTGTGTTTGTCCTTTGATAATACCAAATTTTGTGCTTTATTTAATGTTTTGTTCATTCATTTCAAATTATAAATCAGGTCGTACATCCTGACAGTTACTCTTTAAGTTGTTTTTACTGCAGTAGTATTTTCTCAAATACCTTTTTACTCTTAATAAGTCATTTCTTGGACCACTACTTTGTACTTTTACAATATTACTCAATATACTGAGTAAAATTTTTGGCTACTCTTCTCACTTCAGCTGTCTGGACGAAACATCTGTTTATAATTAATTAATGTAAGTTCATGTAATCTGAGGGACAAAACATTAAATAATTCTCAACTAAATGTACTAAATGATATCTCAAGGAGCATGGCAAGAAACTGAAAAGAAAAATGTTCAAGTCATTTCATATTGTCACATAGACCACAACTTTTACTGAAGTAAGACTGTACTGTTACACTCTACAATATTATTATTCATAGTAAAAGCATGGGGTTTGAAATTATTAAAAGTTTCTAGACTACTTCTGGAGTACTACCCACCTCTGATAACAGGCTTGAAAACAGTTAAGTAACAGTTCCTCACAAATGTTATATTCTTTTTATATCATTAGGCTGAACTCTTAAAATAGTTTGAAATGTCTTTGCAAATTCACTTCTCTGCAAATCTGTATCTGATCCTTATGTAGTTGTAAATGAATAAAAACAACATTATATTTTCACTTTGGTTGTGTTCTTTGTAGAATCAGTGATTTAACAAAGAGCAAAAGAGAGGGTTGAGGTGTGTGTGTGTGCGTGTGTGTGTGTTTGTGCTCTATAAAGGTGAGGACATACTGTAGTTAGCTCAGAGTTTCCTTCCTGCTGTTTTTGTAATCACACCAGCGCTGCTCATGTCACAAGTCTGTGTGGTCTATATTAGGCCCACTGATCGTATTTATTTATAGGAACTGTAAGTTTTAACCTGTGAACCGAGGACACATCCAAGTTTATCTCATTCTCAGTTCATGTACAGTCCTCATGTGAAAGCTCAGAACGTCCAGAATTCCCTCCCTGACCTGTAGAGGCTGCACTAGCACTGACTCAAGACTGTCTGCAGGTGCTGTAGTTTATGTATTGACCAATCAGATCAGAGAGACGTATTTTATGTTTTAACCAACAGTATTTCAGCATTGAATCTGGCAACCCAAATGAGAGACTCGCGTGAGGCTCATTCTGTTTTCTGATTGGATAATCATGCTGAGAAAAAAAAAAAAAAAAGTCCACCTTGTCCAGTGTTTTTATTATATATAAACATAAAGTAGCATTACAATTACTATCAGTAAAAGCTATTTTTGATTTAAACATGTTTACCTCGTATCTGTGGACACAGACAGGTCAAGTTCTTGAAATGAAAATTGGACATACATGTATATGTGTTTCTGTATCATTATTGGTTGCTAAATCTTTAAATTCTGCATATGTTTTACTCAACGCAGAAGAAATCCAAGACCCCAATGTTCAGGTTGGTTAGAGCATTGTTTCCCAAAGACTGGGTCACGACCCTCAGGTGGGTCACAAGAGATTTTTTTGGGGGTCCCCTTGTCACGATCTGTGTGTGAATGTATGCTTATTCTTTTCACTACTACATATTTGTGTGAATTGGGATTTTCTGCGCTTACAAAAATGAAGACAAAGCACAGAAACAGACTGAATGCTGCGTCTGATCTTGTTGCGCTCTCCTCCTGCACTCCAGACTGGAACACGATGCAAAACCACAGACAGCCCATCTATCTCATTAGAAATATTGAAATGTTAAGACATGTTTTGTATAATTTCTAATCTTTTTGTAATTTTCTGACTATTTTTTTCCAATGTTGCTCGGTCAGTTGAATATTGAAAAGAAAAGGGCTACATTTATTATGCAAATAGGTGACTTATTGATCCTTTTATTGCTGATTCAACGACAAACAGAAATCTTCACTATTATGCACAACAACTTAGTTTACTTTCGCATACATTGCACTGGATTGTATGTGTTTATTTATTATTGTACTTGATTCTACCCACGTACTACCCACCTCTGATACTAAATTACTCTAATCAAGTCTCTTTTAAGTAGATTTTTACTTTTACTTGAGTAAAATATTAGCAGCAGCTATTGTATTTGTATTTGTGTGCATTATTAGCCATGCAACTGTAACCATTTTCTGTACTTTATCAATGCTCTGGATGCATTCAGAGAACAAAAGGTAAAAGGTGCGGTTAATCTGAAAACTGGTCTGTTGTTTTTCAGTGTTTAAAACTTGAGTAATACTAATTGTTCAGAGAGACACAATCACTCATTCAACAATAAAATATCCTCATTAATGTTCAGTAATGGTCAAACCCACCTTTATTTTGTGACTGACGAATAATGTCTATTGACTTGGGTCACGAAGGTTTTTAACTTTTAAAATATGGGTCCCCAGAAAAAAAAGTTTGGGAGACATAGACTTCATCTGAATTCATTGGTTTGTAGTGACCCCCCGTGGACACTTTAGGTCATTACACAATAAAGAAAAACACAGATGTATTTTAGATTAAAACGGCGCAGGAACAAATCATTTCTGACATGTAACTTATACTACAATGACTCAACACGGTTTTCAAATACTCAAATTAAATGAAAAAGATACAAAGTAAGACGTCCAAAAATGTATGCGGTTGTGGTTTTGGCCTTTTATAGTCGGTGTATTTTTACGAATAAAGGTTCATCTAGTTCAGTTCGATGTGGCACGTTCAGCCCCCTGATCACGAGGCTAAGGAGAGGTTTGTCTAAATAACATGTTTGTGGAGAGCTTTTGTCTCTCTTGTGATTGTAGTCCCAACTTTTACCACCAGATGTCACTATTATACAGGCCTACATACTGTTTTAGACTTGCGTTCGTATTATCACAGACTGACTGGTGTTTTGGATCAAAACATAAGAAACTAAACTATATTTTAAACATGACAGATGAAACAAAATGACCCAAGCACAGATTTGAAAATAAAATATGTTTAATTCACTGTGCAATCAGCTACAAGTATTTAATTTTAATTTCTTTCTTATTTGATTGAGCTGGAGATATTAAAGCTACAGTCTGTCACTTTCTGGAGGTGGCACGGCAAATGCATGGAAACAGAAACCATACTTCGGAACATTCTCCATGGATATAGATACATTTTATACTGTGCCATACTGTGGAATATTATCAGAGGTGGGGACTTACAGGTCGTGATTTAGACCCAGGTCAGACTTGAGTCACTATTTTTAGGACTTGAGGCTTGACTTGATAAAATGGACTAAGACTTGGGACTCGACTTGGACTTGAAGGTCAGTGACTTGGGACTTGACTCGGACTTGAAGCTTGTGACTTGAGAAATGTCACATGGAAACAGGAGAGGACCCAAAGTGCAGGACTGCTTCAGTTGTTTAATGTAACAAAACCAAAATACAGAAGAAGCCAAATCCAAAAATCCAAAAACAGAAACTACAACAAACATGATACTGACAAGACAAATAAATAAAACACCAAAGACACA